TGATTCTCTGTGTCTGGTAGAACCGTGTCAGCCAGTTAATGTCTGAGCTCAGCTGTGGCTATTTTTTAAAGCTCTGATTATAAAAGTAATGCATGTTTATTATACAAAATAAATTTAAGGTGAGACGTGAGGGATACAGAAAAGTATAAAGAAATAAAAGCAACCTAGTGCCCCAGCTATTCTCCCTTTATACCAATGAATATGGGTGTTTATATGTGAACTTGTGTGTGGACATACATGTATTTTTTTGTCGTACATAGTATTTTTTACTTCCTAGTTTGTGGACAGTTACGCACATACACATCTCCATCATCAGTTTTATTTATGGCTCCACTTTCAAATTTAGGATTATTTTTAGAAAGTATTAAATTATCCCGGGAGGGGGGCTTTGTGGTGGCCGGTTCACGACGATGAACTGGGCGTCAGGGACAGTTGAGTGTGTTCGTGGTTGACAGTGGGTCCCACTCAAAGTCTGTTAGGATCCAACTGTGGGTCTATTGAGAGCCAGCTTACTTAGCCCTTGGTATGGGGAAGGGACTTGCTCATGTCACTTCATTTCATCATCACCCCAGTTTAAGTCACCATCCCCTTTTCTCAGACCGTGAGCTGAGATGGAGAGTTAGGTAATTTGCCAGACATTTAATCCTGGACCTTCCAGGACGCGCCCCTTGCTGGTCTACTGGGGAGTTGGAAGTGTTGTGTAATGTCCCGGCCGAGACGGAGTTATGAAAATACCTGCGAACGGGAGAGTGGCTGACTTACCGTGAACAGGGCTTGCAGGAGCCCGGCTCACAGAGGTGCAGGCAGCCCCTGTGAGTAAGAAAACACTTCGCAGCCCTGGCTGTGATTAGTGGTTTTCTGTGCTTCTATTTTACATTCTTACGTGTACCGTTTAGATGGAGATCATGGTGTTGAGTGAGCTGTGAGTTTCTTCTGTGTTTTGGACTGCCAGGAGGGGGAATTTTCTTTTCTTAAAAGAAAGCTGTGCCTTCTTTTAAGGCATAGCTGGTGAAAACATGAAGCCTGGGGAAGGCTCCCTCCCCCCTCCCCTCCCCCCCCCGCCCCACCATGCATTAGCAGGCTCAGCAGGGTGGCAGAATAATAAATATTGCTGTGAGCGTGTGTGGGAATAGGTACACTAATTTTTGTAAAGATTTTATTTATTTATTTTTAGAGAGAGGGGAAGGGAGCGAGAAGCAGGAAGAGAAACATTGATGTGCGAGACATTTATCAGTTGGTTGCCTCTCACATGCCCCCAAGTGGGGACCTGGCCCACAAGCCAGGCACGTGCCCTGACTGGGAATCGATCCAGCAACCCCTTGGTTTAGAGGCCAGGGCTCAATCCACTGAGCCACACCAGCCAGGGCATGGTTTGTTTTTTTTTTTAATTTAAATTTTGATAATTGGAAAATGCAGGTGGGTAGGGCAAAGGTAGGTTTACAGTTGTGAGTACATGGAAACACAATTTATTTCTTATATTATTCATATGTTATTATTTATTGATTGTCATTGTTTTCTATACGAACAACTGTAAACCTACTTTTGCCCCACCCTGTATATAAAGAGTAAAAAATCAGGATTTCCTCGCTTACCCATAAATAGCCTCAGACTTACGGACTATTACTTACATGTATGTACCCCTGTGAGTCTGCACGCATGCAGGTGTGACATGTGTCCTGCCAGCTCTGCTCCTGGGGCTGCCCTGAGCGCATTGGAGTCAGAGTGTTGAAGAGACAGACCTGAGGAAACACTGGTCTCTGCCCTGCGTGTTCTGAAGGTCCAGAGACGGCCAGAGGGGGCAGACCCCGAGGGCGGCAGGCCAGGCGCGCTCGCAGGCGGCCGGCTGCTGCACTCGCTCCGGACCGCGCTGCTCTGAGGCTGCTTTTCTGGGCTCTCCTCTCCTCGTCCGCATGGTAGCCTCTTCCTATAGTTAGCATGACTAAAAAGAAAAAGTAACCTCCAAACTTGTTTTTAAAGAGCATGCTAGACTTTGAGCTGGTGTCATTTAAATTCCAGCTGTTGCTGAAATGGATGCGTGGCCTTGGATAAGTCTGTGAGTCTGTTTCGGCAGTAAAATGGTGATAAGAACACCTGCAGATGGAGTCACGGTGAGCGTCAGGGACGTGGGATGTCATCCTCATAAAATAGCACTGAGAATGATTAACCGTGTGCTATCACTGGGCGTGTGTACGTACGGAAACTATCATGGCTTTTCTGTATTTTGGATTTGCGAGAGTTCGGGAGCATAGAACTCTCCATTTATTTCTTATGTTATTCATGCATTATTATTGGGATGGAGGTTCTGTAGGGGAAAAGCTGCATGCAGGCATAATGTGTTTGGCTTGTAAGTGGTTAAAGGTGTAACCCTTCAGAGTGAAAGAAGTCTCAAGGGCAAGTGGGCAGGTGGTGCCCTGTGTAAGGGGACCCGGGTGGGACTGAGAGGTGGCACAAGTGGCCAGGTCTCCATGGTGTGTGTGGTGGCACTTTGACTTGTGACCACAGTTCTTTTCTGCAAGGCCTGCCGTTTCTGGGCCTTTGCATTTCAGCCTGGCTTTGAAAACTTCCATCCAAACCGGCCACGCCGTCCCCAGTTCTTCATACCAGGCTGGCCTACCTGGATGTCATAGTCTCCTTTCCTTGCCCCTCTCGGTGAAGCAACAGCTTCTATTCCTTTACCCGTCTTCTATTTTTTAAAACCCTGGCACGCTCAGCAAATTCCATGTGACCTGGGCGCCTGGAGAGAGAGCAAAGAATAGAAATTCATTGGGGGTTTTCCTCTGACATCCCTTCCTTTGTGTTTCCCGTCCCTTCGAATCCTAGTGCCTATTATAATAATAGTTAAAAATTCTAAAGCAGGCAAAAGCTCTTCCACACTCTGGTGTTGGGCCTGCCTGCACCAGTCCCAGAGGTTTGTCCCCGAGGAGTATATATGACGCAGTGAGAATTGAGGGCCACCAGAGCTTCCCCGAGGTTCTCCCTGGGCGTAGAGTCTGTCCTGGGCCCACTCTCCCATACCTGTGACTGCGCGGTGAACCCTTAAACCCACACGTGTTTGTTGGAACTCTTTCTGTGAGAGCTTTTACCACCAACGGTTGTCTGAAGAGTGGAATGGAAGGCACACACGTACCCCCATGGCCGAACTATCCGAACAGCCGGCCACCGTCAGCAGACGGCCATAACCTGCAGGTGCTCCGTGCTTCGTCAAGTCGTCGTTACTTTCGGAGCTTTGTCCTCCGTAACTGCGTGTCGTTAGAAACCTGCCTGTCGGGAAGGGGGCCTCTGGGTATTGTTTGCTACAAACAAATAGCTCCCAGCACTTCTGCACACCCCTTTGGCAGGAACATCGAATCAGTAATCCAAGGATTAAGAGCCAGCCTTGTGATTGGGGGTTTGGTGAGTTGTAGCTAGACCCAAGACGGAGAGAAATAAGGTGGGCAGAAATGTGTTTTTCCAGCAGACTGGGTGAGGGAGGATTAGGTCTCAATATAAGGAGGCAGTTTTTGCTTATTAAGGCACCGTGTTAAAGAGAATGTCTTCGGATACTTTCTTAGTTTTCCCCTCATCTTTTCCAGTTAAACATGTATTTAATTAATACCTATTACAATCAGGTCACTGTTCTGAACCTCCTTTACACTCATGTTATTTATTTTCATTTTTAAATTAACGATTAGAACTTGGTAGCACATGTGTAACGCACAGGAAGTTGTACGGTGAAAAGTAACTCTTCCTTCCTTCCTTCCCGCCCGCGACCGCAGGACACCTGCTCCCTCCAGCCCCCAACCCCCACCACTCTGCCCCCCCCACCCTGTTCCTTTCCCATTCCCCCAGAGGTCATCCCGGCATGCATAAGCATCCATGCCTTTTTCTTCCACACGTAATGTCAGCCTTCTGCGGCAGACTAATTTTGGTGGTCTGCCCAATTAACCACACCTCCCTGTATTTAAGTCCTTATGTAATCCCCTCCCATACTGACTGAGCTGGGGCCATGGGACTTGGCTTTGACCCACTGTGAACTAGGAAGTGGGATGCAGGGTCAGGCTCCCTAAGTGCTTGCCCTCTGGGGCCTGTCCTCTGGGCTCGCACTCTGTGACCTGCCCGTTAGAACCTACAGACCACCCGCTGCAAGGTCCCCAACCCGCCAGTGGAAAGGCCCCATGCAAGAGGGCTGAGGTCTTTGCCAGCAGCTTCCAGACCGCAGCCGGCCTCGCCTGCCAGGCCTGGGACAGGAGAGCTGGCATGGAAGCCTCTCGCCCGAGCCACCCAGGCCAGAACAAGCTGCGTGGCACAGAGTGGGCTTTCCAGACGGAGCCCTGTCCAAACCGAACAGCTGTGCACATTCGTTCCAAGCCACTAAATGCGGTTTGTCGTGCAGCCGCAGGCAACTGAAGTACTGTTCATCCTGTGCCTGGCGGTTTTTCACCGCGCCCTGTATTGGGTATCAGCCTATTTCAGTATTTACAGAGTCGCCGCCTTCTTTTTAGCAGCGGGACAATATCTCACCGTGTGGCTGTGCGGTAATTGAATCACCCTCACTCACAGACACATATGTTGTTTCCAGTCCTTTGCTGTGTGCTTCCTTTCACACATGAACACACGTATGTTTACTGGCTAAAGTTTTAGGTGCAGAGCCGCTGGGCCAAAGCGTCTGTGAATCTGCAGTTTCGACAGGCACCACCGAGGTGCCTTCCAGGGAGCTGACCCTCCCGCTGGCTCTGAGAATCGGGACGGGGGCGCCGAGGTGCGTGGCAAACACGGTGCCGCAGTGAGGTGGGAAGGCCGCCTGCCTCCTGTAACGGTGTTTTCGTGTGTTGAGAGGCCCTCTGCCTTTCGCTTGTAATGAAGCACGCTCCCTTCCTCTGTGTTTTTGCGCTCTTGCGCTCTTCTTGGGGCATTTCGACACCAGTGGCATTGTTGTCTATTTTCTCAGGGCCAGACAAGCTGGGATATTTTAGAAAAACGTTAGCATTGAGGATAAAATAAGTTATTTCTTTCTCCTTCAGATTCTGGCGAAGCTGTCTGTGCCCTCGCGCGCCCGCGAACCGGTCATGAAGCAGAGTTTCGCCTTTGATAATGTGGGCTACGACGGCAGCCTGGACGGTGCAGGCCCTTTGCACACAGCCACGGGCACCATCAGCCTTTCGGGCCTGACCGGCCAGTCGTGTGTGGCGTCTGTCGAGAGCAGGATTGCCAGTTTGAAAGGTGTCGTGGGCATTCAGGTTTCCCTGGAGCACGGCAGCGCGGCTGTGCAATTCCTGCCGTCGGTGATAAGCCTGCCGCAGATTTGCCGTCGCATTGAGGACATGGGCTTTGGGGCCAGCATCTCGGAAGGAAGGGCCGACTCCTGGCCTCTCAGGTCCTCGCCAGCCCTGGAGGCCGTGGTCAAGCTCCGGGTGGAGGGCATGACCTGCCAGTCCTGTGTCAACTCCATAGAAGGCAAGATCGGGAAGCTGCAAGGGGTGGTGCGAGTCAGAGTGTCTCTCAGCAGCCAGGAAGCCGTCATCACCTACCAGCCTTACCTTATTGGGCCCCAAGACCTCAGGGACCATGTAAATGACCTTGGATTTGAGGCGGTCATCAAGAACAAAGTGGCCCCTGTCAGCCTGGGACGAATTGATATTGGGCGGTTACAGGGCGCCAACCCAAAGACACCCCCCCTTTCTAACCAGAATGCCAGTAACTCCCATACCTCGGAGGCCCCAGGGAGCCCGGTGGCCACCCTGCAGCTGCGAGTCGACGGCATGCGCTGTAGGTCCTGCGTCCGCAACATCGAAGAGAACATCGGCCAGCTCCCAGGGGTTCGACACATTGGCGTGTCCCTGGAGAGCAGAACTGCCCGGGTCCAGTTCCACCCATCCCGCGTCACCCCAGAGGCCCTGCAGAAGGCCATCGAGGCGCTTCCCCCCGGGAACTTTAAAGTCTCCCTCGCTGACGGAGCAGAAGGAGGTGGGGCGGATGACCGGTCCGCCGCAGACCCCTCCCCCGCCCCCGCCCAGAGAAGCCAGGCGCCAGGCGCGGGCCAGACCCTGGGGCTCGCTATCGGGGGCATGCGCTGTGCGTCCTGCGTCCAGTCCATCGAGGGCCTGCTCTCCCAGAGGGAGGGGGTGCGGCAAGTATCCGTGTCTCTGGCGGAAGGGACCGCCACGATTCGCTATGACCCGTCAGTAACGAGCCCCGAGGAGCTCCGTGCCGCTGTGGAAGACCTGGGCTTCGAGGCCTCGGTCCTTTCTGGTGCGTAGCTGATGCGTGGGCCTGCGCTCGCTCTCCCCCGTGGGGGCGGAGTTCGCAGCTGGCCCGTGTGCTGGGCTTCCAGCACAGAGGAAGCAGCCTTCCCACGTGCTTAGATTTTGCCTCTCGTAGCTGGGACGCACACGCTGAGGCCCTTGGGTCCTTGTCTCCTGTTCTGAGCAGAACTCTGATTTCGGGGGTGGGTGGTTCTTTTTACAGCAGGGACACCAGGCCCCTCTCTGACCACCGGACTCACCCCCCCTTTCTCTGAAGATTTCTCTGGTAAACTAGAAACTGTAAAAATAACGTGGCCTTACTCTCTGCCCGCAGCCCATTCCTTTGAAAGTGGGAATTCAGGGGAGGGTTCGGTGATGATGTCCTTTGCCCCTCCCCCCCACTGATGGCTGTGAGAAGCCAGGTGTCTGCATATCTTGACCCACCTCACTCCCGCTCCTCTCGCTGACCCCTCGCTCCCCGGTTTGCTTGCATTTTCCTCCCGTGGGAGCCCAGCACGGGATGCAGCATCCTTTCCACCGAGCGCCAGGACCGCGGGCCCCGCAGTGTCTCCCAGGAGCTTGGGTTGTGGTGGAGGGTTCCCAGGGCAGGGCTTAGAGGGGCAGGTCCTGTGCAGGCCCCGGCGTAGGGCACGTGAGCCAAGCTGGGGGGCTCAAGAAGGGCTCCTACGGAGGGGAGTGGGAGTGTGAGGGCGGTTGGTGGGGGAGGTGACGGGCAGGGGTCTGAAGGCCCGAGAGGCAGTGCGGTGTGCTGGGGAGGCCTCGGAGGGGATAGGGGGGGCTGGATGACGGCGGGGAACTCCGACCCGCCCCACCGTCCTGACCTTGTTTCTGTGAGTGCTGACGGACTGGTACGTGGTTTGTGGGTAAGCAGCGTGTTTGTATGGGAATCCTAGGAACTGACTTACAGACTCCAGCCTTCAGGCATCCCAGCTCTGGGACGCGTGCTGACCTTCAGCCAAGGAGCCGGGGTGACGTAAACGCAGGGTAATGTGAAGCTGGACGACTGAACCGGCCTGACGCACACCGGACGTCATCGACTTACCCGAATGGACTGAGCTCGTCCCCATGCGGAGCACTTCTCACCCCCTCCCTGGTCTCTGTGTGCCGTTCCCCCCTCCCTCCTTAGAGAAGCCGCTGCCTCCTCTGAGAGGGGGAGACGCGAGACCCGAGTCCCCTCTACCCCTGGGAGACAGGCTCTGACACCTGAATCCCCCATCTTCCAGGTGGCCAGCACCTGCAAATGCAGCCTTCAGAGCTGCAGATGGCCCGACTTCTTTCAGATACAGCTTGAGTGACGACTCAGCGTGGTGGGACAGTGCCTGGGCCACCTCACGGGGGCCTGCGCATCACACTGCGTGGGGACTTTCCCGCAGAGGCCAGGGGAGTCAGTGCTGGGTGTGGAGCAGAGGGAGCACAGCTCCGAGGGGGCTGCAGAGGACCCTTCAGGTGCAGCGTGATGGAGGCAGCGAGGCCGCACTGGGGGGCGGGGTGAGGCACGGAGTGTGGGGGCTGCAGATCAAGGACGGATCTGGAGGACACTTGGGGCACAGCTACCAAGCTTGGGGTCAGATTAAGCGTGGGGGGGCAGGCTAGGGAGGAGAGGGAGAACCTGGGTGAGCCCCGGCTGGGTAGATGCTGGAACATGGCCGGGTTTACAAGTTCTGAGTTTTGGGGTGACTGGGGCTGGCTGTGCAGCTTTGAGTGGTGGGAGCTGAGGGAGGTGACTGAAGACCCAGGAAGAGTGTGAGAAGGGAAGGGGCTGGGGAGGAACACAATGGCACTGTAGGGGGATGGCCACCTGTAGGAAGAAGATCTTGCAGACAAGTGACAAAGAAGAGGGTCACTTGGTCACTTGTCTTGAGATAAAGCCAGAGGGTCAGGGAAGCTAAGGGTTAGCTGGGAGGGGCTCACCACCTGCCTGCGGGTGGTGAGGAGGTGCTGAGGCCGGGAGGGGTGGACAAGAGGAAGGGGTGGCTGAGAGAGAGGCTGAAGATAAGGACGGAACGTGGGACATTTTGTGAGGGACAGTGGGGCGGGTGGTAATGTTTTTACTGTTTTGATCCCAAGATACAGGCCCCGCATGTCAGTGCAAATGCAGGCCAGACTAGGGTAGTGTCTCCAGCCTCTGGCTGGAGCTTCGCGCTGGAAGGGAGGGACCGACTTGGCCCTGGGGAGAGCCCGTGGGCTCCCCACGGGCCGAGGTCAGGGTGACTGCGCTGAACATCCCACATCCTTTTCCAGACACCACGAGATGAAGTGTTTCTCCTGGGGCAGTTTGCAGAGTCCAGCCACTTTCCTGTCCCATCCCCCTCCGCACCGCCTTTTAAAGGGAGGGGGTAGGTCCGGTGGCCTTCCACGGCTCTTTGCCTTTGTGCCAAGTTTCAGGAGGGAGGTGTTTCTTTCTCTTTCTGTTTTTCTAAATAAAAATCAGTAAGAAAAACACAATAGAGCAGGAAATCTTATACTCAAAGGTGAGTCGTCATCTGCTATATTTGCATGAGCAGGAGATGGGGTCCCAATGGGCAGATGGGTAACACTCATTTTTCCTCCTTTCTCTGCTGTCATTTCCCACCATTTTAAAAGATGTTTTTTCTTTTATTGATTCCAGAGATAGGGGAAGGGAGGGAGAAAGAGAGGGAGAGCAACATTCATCGGTTGCCTCTCATACGCGCCCCAGCTGGGGACCGAACCTGCAACCCAGGCATGTGCCATGGCCAGGAGTCGAACCCATGACCTCTGGGTTTGTGGATGATGCCCAACCCATTGAGCCACACTGGCCAGGGCTTCATTTCCCACTTTTTATCTCCTGCGTGCCAAATTTAATCAGAAACCAGTTGACCAGGGAGCCTGGGGAAACTGGTTTGTGCAGACAGAACCCTTGACGATGGAGCAGAGAGAGGGAGGGCAAGGGTGGTAGGCAAGTGCCAGACTTCGAACCCCAGTCAGCTTGTTACGTTACCAGACCGAAGGGGTCTGTTTGCCCATGCGCATCAGAGCCCAGTAAGACATGAGCAGGAGTTCGCAGCCAAGAGGAGTGAGGATGTATCAAGGAGATGGCGCCGTGCCCAGAGTCACAGGTAGCTCATGCTCAAAGACCTGGCTCCCTGGTGGCTTCCAGGGGATGGATCTTATGGAGAAAAAATGGTTAATCGTGGTGACAAAGGGAGCCGTGTCGTCTGCTGACTGGTGGGTGCTAGGGTCGGAGTAGTTGAGCATGACACTTGGTCTTGACATCAGCCATGGAGGTGATCTGTCCAACTTCTCCAGGATTCGTTCTGCAAATTCTTCTGCTTTCCTGGGTCGGAAGCTGAAACACAGCTGAGGCCACCGTTCTGTCCTGGATTGGAAACTCGTCTCTATAGTCAGTAGAGCAGGACCTTGTCCTAAGACGCCCACGGGCAGACTGGAACCTCATTGTCCCGAAGGCTCAGTGGTTAAGCAGGGGAGAGGGAGGTGGGTGAGTCAGGGTATTAGGTGAGGACAGTTCCAGTCAAAGGGGAAAAAAGTCAAAATAAGAGGCCAGATGAAAGAAAAGAAGGTTTCTGCGCGGTTACAATGAGATGATTAAAAATAGATTTAGCCCCAGTTTCTGTCTAGAAAGTAGCCCTGCACCTGTTCACTGATTTTCGTGGGAACCATTTTTTTGAATGAACAACTAAGTGGATGGACAGGTGGATGGATGCATTGCTGAGGTGCGAGGAAAAGCCATCTGTCCTATGTCACGCGGTCCTCTCACTGCTGTGCGTGTGTGGTGCCGCCCTCGGCACTGCCCGTGTGAGGGTCTTCCCGGCCCAGCGCAGTGCCAGCTGCCAGGACGTGCTCAGAGGCAGCCTGGTACCTCCCGTCTGTGTTCTCATGAGGGTCTCAGGTCACAGAGACGAGCAGGGGGTACTGTAGGTTAAGTGCTCTTGGGGTTTGGGAGGAAACCCAGCGTTGGTTGTGGGGCTCCCACAGACTCGCAGGTGGAGCAGGGCCTGGCTGGGGTCTCAGAATGACTAGGGTTTCGTCGGGTACTCTGGGCAGAGGGGACACAGCCCAGGCCCACGGGCAGGCCTGCTGCAGGTGCGGCTGGAGAGCAGTCAGGCGTGGGTGGTGCTTGGGTGGAAGCGGCGGGGGATAAGGTGCCACCGTCCGCAGTCTCCAGGGTCCCGGAAGAGGTCTGCTTCCTGATTGTCAGCCTTGCAGTGTGTTCCCTGCCCAGCAGCCAGCATTCACCTTCCCATCTGGTCTGGTAACATCTCACCTGGCGGTGGCCGCCAGCTCCCTCTGTCACCCATGACCTTTCTGACCCTTTCGGATTCCTCGGATCAGGCGTGTTCTCGCCCCGGGGTCTCACTGCCCTCCCTGTCTGGAGCTCTCGTCTCCCAAAGTCCACACGGTTTGCTTCAGTTCATAGCACCTATAATTTATATGTAGAATATGTCGGTTTGTATCATACCTGGCTTCGTGATCTCTTTTTCTCTGCAATGTATCATAATCATCCTTTTAAATTCCATTCTTACGTCTACATCACCACACTTTCTGTGGCTGCATAGCACTCACCCCATGGACGTACCCTAACTTAGTTCCCTCTGACACCGCTCCCCTCTGTTCCGTGTGCTGGTGATTGTACGTGATACAGGCATCGCTGAGGCGAAATCTTTGTGCAGGTACTTAATTATTAAGTATCTGAAAGTGTAAACGATGGGTCACAGGGTATAAACGTTATTTAATTCCGTCACAAATATTTATTGTGCCTCTACTAAGTACCAGGCAGTTAGGGGCATTGTTTTTGATAAGGCATGTTGCCAAGGAGACTTCCAGAAAGCCTAATTCGCTTACATTGCCCACCACAATTAGTTAGCATAGATTAATAAAGGTCCCAGTAGCATAAGCTTGTTTGGGTCTTTGTTAATGTATTTTAACTTTCTTTCACAATCTTCTGAAGCCCAAAACTTAGTTGAGTCCTACCTCAGTGTTGAAGAATAGCGGTTTGTACATTGCAGGTTAGTAAAGGCATGAGATTCTCGAATCGCACAAATATTACTGGAATTGTTGACCGTACTGTTTGGGTAGAAAGGCAGGTGAATCCAGGAAACCGGTGATGGACTGGGAAGATGGCGGGTGGGGGGTGGGCAGATGTGGGAGGGGGGATGGGTACAGGAGGTGGCATGTTAAGAGGTGGCCACAGAATAGATTTTGTGGGTTTGAGATTCCAGGTGTGGAGTCATTCTGAACAATGATAAAGTCCAGGAGGGTGACCCGTGCCCGTGGGTGAGGTGACAGTCCCTGCATCAACACGGTCAGGACCCCGGAAGGCCAGACTGAGGGGTCTTCCACAAGCGGGCTGAAAGTTTCCATCAGCTGGACTCAAAGTAAAATGAGGAAAACACCCTGAGATGTGAGAGGTGTTCACATCTGTTGTCAGATGTGAATAACATCCGTTGTCCGTTGTCAGTGCAGGTTAATTCCAACTTGGATCTTCTGCTGCTGTGGGTTTGCCAGTGGGGTTTCATCATCAAAGGGCATGATTGTCTTTTCTACATCCTCTTACGGGTATTTTGTGTCGCCAAAATAGTGTGACCTCCTGGAGGGCTGCAGATGTTCTGTATCTTTACCTGTTTGGGAAAACTACTTACACCCTGTGCACATAGTGAAAGGCAGACTAGGCCCCCCCCAAATGCCTGCACCCTCATCCTCGGAATCCGGTCGGGGAAGGACACTCTGTTCTGTGTGTGGAGCCAGATCGGTCGGATTCCCAGGTGGGAAGAAACCAGCCTTGCCTGCCGCCTCACACACAGGAGTCAGCTGGAAGTGTGTCATAGGCCCGAATGTGGAAGTTTATTAAAATAACAAAGCTTTGAGCTCTGGCTGGGTGCTCGGTTGGTTGGGGCATCATCTCATACACCAAAAGGTTGTGGGTCCAGTTCCCGGTCAGGGCACATGCCTGGGTTGTGTGTGTGATCCCCGGTCAGGGCCCATACGGGAGGCAACCAATCAATATTTCTCTCTCTCTCTCTCTCCCTTCCTCTCTAAGATCAGTAAACATATCCTTAGGTGAGGATTTAAAAGTAATCATTGAAAATAATAAAGCTTTGAGAAGATAACATCATGAATATTTTCACAGTGTTGGTGTAGACAAATGTATCACAATGGCACAGTGTGCTGACCACAGATGTTGTTTAGGTGATTGCCGAGTTGGGCTTCATTAAGTTAAGGACTTCTTTCATCAAAAGAGACTTCGTCAGGTGGGGTGAGAACCCAAGCACAGACCGGGAGCAGGTTCACCCCACTGACAGAGGAGTCAGGTCCAGAATGTATACAGGACTTCTACAAACACTGAGAAAACAATATGCAACTCAGTAAAGGTGTTTGGGGACATTTTGATTGTCATGGGGAGAGAGTGAACCTCTGCTGACTAGAAGGTGACTGCAGTTAAAGGGACAGATTCTGGAGCTAAACAGACCGGTCCCCAAGCTGGCTTCACTGCTATGACCTGAGGGGTCTGGGTGAAATCATTTAAAATGGGGATGATAGCAGTATTTACTACATAGCCGTTTTAAGGCTCAAGAAGGTCACGCTTGTGCTCTGCAGAGTGGCAGGTGAGTTCTTAGTGTTGTTCTCATGTAATTAGAGTGTTCATCTGGCCAGAACTTGCCACGCTTGAAGTGCCGGCACATGCCACGTGTCTGTGATCACGCGCCCCTGTCGCTGGTGGCGGGGAGAGAGAGAGGGATCGGAAACGCCTTCAGCTGCTGTCGGGCTTGTACCTCCTGCGGTGAAGAAAACCCTGACTGTCTGTCATTCTGCTCTGAACGGTTTCTGACCTTTTATTCCAGGCAACCGCTCCGGCAGCCACGTCGGAGAGCTCAGGGCGGCGGACGCCCCGACGCAGACTGCAGCTGGCACGCCTGTGTCTGAGCAGGAAGTGGCTCTCTCCGCTGGGATGGCCCCCACCGTGCACAGCCCGGGCCTCTCGGGGGAGTCCCCCCCGCAAGCCTCTGCCTCGGTGGCTCCGCAGAAATGCTTCTTACAGATCACCGGCATGACCTGTGCGTCCTGCGTGTCCACCATAGAGAGGCACCTGCAGAAGGAGGCTGGTGAGAGGCCCACGCCCGCGTTCCCCTGGGGGTGCAGCACTGTGGGCTGTCCCTTCCTGGTCTCCACGGACTGCATTTATCAGGAGCCCCCAGGGCCCAGTAACACACGCCTCATGTCACAGGATAGGTGTTGGCCTGATGTCCAGGGCCACTGGCATCTGTTCTTTGAGGGGTGTTTAGTTTGCCTGAGATAAAATGTGTCTCCCAGTGAGCCGCGGGAGAGCCAGGGTAGAGCTCACGGCTCGTCCCGTGGGGAGGCAGTCTCCTCGGTTCGCCCGTCCTCGTAGAGTCTGTATCTTTCTCCCCCAACCCTGTGGGCCTCTCACTGTCAAGTGCGTGAATAGCCTGCGTTTTGTGAAATTCCGGTTCCAATGTTCTGTCTTCTTGTCTCTGTAAACTGCAGGGTGCGTGGAATTGGCAAAGTCTAGTGTTTCAAACCACATTGTCAATATTCTCTTAAGCCTGACAGTGCAACAAAAATCCTGTCTCACTGTTTTGTTCAGAAAATATTTTAACCATGACCCTCCTCTGCCACCAGAGTTAGAGAACTTCTTTCTCACTCCAGCGAGTAGGACAACGCTTTTTCCAGCCTCTCTTCCGCTTCCTGGAGCTTCAGAATGATCGTGCTCACATGGAGGTGTCCCGGGACTCCCTTTGTCACCCAAGGAGTGGCCGCCCGGAAAATCGACCTCTCTCTCAGTGCCCGTGCTCCGTCCCTGACTTGAATCTTTCATTTTCGTCCCGTATGGCATTTTTCTAAAGCACATCATTGCTTTCATCCATTTGAATGAACTGTGCCCACCCCCCCCCACCTGCCCACAACCTCACAGAATGGTGTTAGCCAGATCGTCAGTGACGTTTCTTTTTCACTTCTGAAAGTGATCAAAAACTGGAAAACAGGACGGAAAAACATGTTGAAAGTTATTTTTCTTTATCTGGAATTGACTGAGGAAAAAGTACAGGGTTCAGCACAAATAACGCCCCTTTTTGGTTACGAAGTCTTTTATTACAAAATCATAAGCATGCAATTCTGTAACATAACAATATCACACTCAAGCACACCACATGGCATTTTAGGTGACATGTTCAAATTAAACCTGTAAATCCTTACACACACATTATTACCCTACCGACCACACACAAGCAGGCGTTAACCTCCGCTGGGCCCTGTGCATCAGTCACACAGCAGCGGCTGCTGGCTGCAGACCAGGCCCCTTGCTTTGAGGCTCATGCTCCCACCCGTGTCCTCCAGAGCCGGACCCAAAGGGGTCCCCGGGCCGGCAGTGCCGGCATTGCCTGGGAGCCGGGCTGACCGGCAGAACCTCAGGCACCGCCCCAGACCCCTGAACCAGGCTGCTGCTCAGTGAGGTCCTCGGGAGGGTTCGTGTGCCCACTAAAGCATGAGAAGCGTCGTTCTAGAACGGTGGTTCACATGCTTGGCTGTACGTTAGACTCACCTGCGGGGCTTCAGAGAAAGATACCCGGTACTCACTGGACATTCTGATTCGGCAGGTCTGGGTCAGGGACCAGCGCCTCACACCATCCTCACCTATAGCCAAGTTCGAGAGCCACTGTTCGGAAGGCCTCTGGGTCAGATGCGGGGTCATCGCCGGGCTATGTTGACCACCTGGGGACCTTATGAGAGGGTCACAGCTGTAGCTTGGTGGTTTCAGGTATTCTCTCCGTGCTGGTTGCCCTGATGGCCGGAAAGGCAGAGGTCAAGTACAACCCAGAGGTCATCCAGCCACTCGAGATAGCTGGGCTCATCGAGGACTTGGGCTTCGAGGCGGCAGTGCTGGAGGACTGCAAAGGCTCCGACGGAGACATCGAGCTCCTCGTGAGTAGGCTGTCAGCCTGGGGCCGGGGGCCGGGGGCCGGGGACCAGGGGCCAGGGGCCAGGGGCCAGGGGCCGTGCCCCATCAGCGGCCCCGCTCTCTCTGTCCTGCGAGCTGTCACTGTTGGGCATTCTTGTTTTGTTTGGTAGTGAAGCCCACAAGGGCCAGTTCCTTTTGCGAAGGAATGTCCATTATGTCAGAGGGTCACAGGGGTGGACCCCACTGGGCACGTTCAGGTTCAAGAAGGCGGAGGTGGCAGGAGCATGGGAGGAAGATGAGCCTTGTTGAAGTGGCGAGTGTCCTGAGTTGGTGGTTCGAGGGAGTGGGGTGTGAACACGCCCCACAAAGCCTGCGTGGAGGGAAGCTGGGATGTCGGTGGTGTCCCTGGGCTGGAGGCGGTGGGTCGGCACAGATGGAGAGGGCTCCCACGCAGGCAGGGGCGTCTGGGAGGTGATACATTTGCTGCGGGGTTTGCAGTGAGCACCAAGGGCGGTTGCTGCTCCCAGTGTGGGCGGGGTGGCCTGTCTGTCCTTTGTCGCCAGCTGCATGTGAATGATTCGTTGAAAACAGCAGGCATGTCCAGTATTTAGAATGTGCTATGTTTACAAGCACTTACATACACAAAGCTTGTTTTGTGTAAATACAACAGATGAGGAGAAACACACAGAAATTGAGGAGTGTTGTTTTACTGAGGTGAAGGGTCTTTTACTTCCTTACTGTGTCTAGTCGCTGTCATGGTTAGTGAATCTTTGAGGAGAGAGAACCAAGGACACGAGTGGCACTTGGAGCTGCTGACAGGCAGCGTCTCTGGGGACCCAAGCTCCGCCCTGCATGGGCCCCCCGCGTGTCCAGCTCCAGGTGGCCCCGCTCAGGCCCTCCTGGGGGGAAATCTGACTCGGCAATAGCGTTGGGAGAGGCGAAACTGGAGCAATGTTTGTTTTGGGGTTTTTTTTACGGTGTGTTTTTTAATTAAGCAGTATCAATAAGTTGCATTATCAATAAGTTGTATTATTGATACAACTTATCAGTAAGTTAATAAGACACTTGATGCGTGTGCAGACACTTGATGTCTGCATTTAATGGTATTCTGGGATGTGTTGACCGCAGACACTCGGAAGAGTGGGTGGTCTGGTTTGCTGCCCCATTGTACAGGGATGGAACGTCCCACTCCTGTTTCTCGAGTGGGGACACACAGCACGGTGTGACAGCGTGGCACAGCTCCCACTGGGCTCGACTTCGGGCTCTCACGCTGCAGGGACGCGTCCTCACCTGCTCTGGGACGGTCCCCTCAGGATGCTCTCTGCAGCAGTGTGGGAGAGCAGACCCAGAGCGCAGCTCTGTCGCTCCCTGGTGTGTGACTGTGGACAAGTTCCCAAACCTCTCGGGGCTGAGGGTACTGAGGCCTGCTGTGCAGGGTTGGTGTGAGCAGGATAGTGCCTGGCAAGTTGCAAGTGTGCAAAGAGTGGCACCTATGATCACCATAGAAGTAAAAGGAGAGCTTATAGGCACCGTTGAAATAGCTGTAGACCTTGTAAAGTTCTGCCACGTGCCCCTGCAGCCTGTTCCTCAGGTCCCCTGCCAGGGCGCATGCACTCTGCTCACAGGTGCGCTCGCCCCTCCTTTCCCCTAATTCCACACTGGACTCTCTCCTCTCCTCTAGTACTTGATGCTGGGGTCGCTGGTGCAGATTTCCAAGGGCAGCTCTAGTCTCATTCTGGTGCTCACGACCCTTCCGACTGCCCATCAGGTGCTGGCTTAGCAGCCCTGTCCACTCGGGTGCCCAAGAGCCTTCACGGGCACCCAGCCAGCGGGGCGCGCTTCCTGTGCCCTGCCGCGGTTGGCTGTTGCTGGTTGCCTGGACACGCCCTGCCTCTTGTCTTTTCCTGCGTTTCTCCTTGATTTCCCCTGGAAGTACCCTGTCCATACTCTGGGACTGCCTCAAATCCCATCAGCTCCATCACTCAATTCTAAATTCTTCCCTCGGTCCATAAGGAGCTGTTGACACTCTTGCCGTTGGAGTGTGCAGAGCCCCGTAGTAGAGGGGCCTCAGCAGCGGCCGCAGAGAGGAGGCCAGCCGCACTGGGGACCGCAGAGAGCGTTTTGAGAGCCCAGGAGGCCTGGAGAGCTGCGCATCCTGACCCTTTCGAGGCAGGGAAGGTGCATGCGTTGTTAATTCTGGAGCTGCTGGTTTGGGCGACTGAGATGGATTGTGGGCGGCTGTGAGGGCTCTTCACTGTGAGAGCCGAAGTCAGGCCTCCGTTGCTGCCGTCTGCTTAGCCGAGTGGCTGCGTCTCGTGTACCAGAGCTGGCAGGGACTCGCTGCTTATCTGCTTGAAGCCCCTGGGGGAAGGTTCGGGGTTTGGAGGTGGGAATGAGGGGTCTTGGGGGGCGCTGTGGAAGGCGGGCGGGGTCGGGGGCTGTGGCAGCCTGTGCGCCCCCGGATCCCGGGCCAGTGGGGTTTCTGTCCTCTCGTGCTGCAGGTCACCGGCATGACCTGCGCTTCCTGCGTCCACAACATAGAGTCCAAACTCACGAGGACCAACGGCATCACCCACGCCTCTGTGGCCCTCGCCACCAGCAAGGCCCACGTGAAGTTCAGTCCTGAAATTATCGGTCCACGGGATATCATCAGGATTATCGAGGTCAGTCAGTCATTTGACAAATTGTACCCACCTTTAAAAAAAATCACCTAAAATCCTTTTACTGTCCCAGTGGAAGTAAGGGGAGTCATTTTAAAATAAACTGTAGTTAAGCGAATAACAGATATTCCAAGGGGCAAATTCAGTGGATGGGTGAGAAAATGTTGGGGAAAAGAGACGTTATTGCTTTAGCTTCAGGTATTCCTGGGAGACATCAGTATCACCCAAACACCTGGTACAGTACGGGGGCCAAATTGTACTTTTTAGGTATGATTGGTGTCTGCACCAGGTGTCTACAGAGCAAAGAAATGTGGTTGAATTAACCTGCATGTTGCTGCTTTGCTAGGCCTGCTTCATAACGGCGCAGTTGGGTCATTTCTCCCTTGGAGAATCAGTTGGAGAAGCTTGCGTGTGCTCCTACCACTCCGTTCCCCTCGGCTTGTCCACAGACGCACTGTTTCCTTGTTAAGGCCTGTGTGATACCATGAGCGGGAGGGCGAGGGGGCGTTCTAAATGGGCTGGGACAGTCAACACAGTAAGAGTGAGTGGAGCTGAGTGGACTTACGACGTGGAACATCTTGTAGCAGGTTTAATCTTCAACGTTCTCTTCATGGTGTGTGGGTGTGAGCACATACTGCATGCGTGAGAGAGACGTCTGTTGCATGGCTTAGCAGAGCTTTTTTTTTTTTTAAGATTTTATTTATGTATCTTTAGAGGTGAAGGGAAGGAGAGAAATATCAATGTGTGGTTGCTTCTAGTGAGTCCCCTGCCGGGAACTGGCCTACAACCCAGGCATGTGCCCTGACTGGGAATCGAACTGTGATTGTGTGGTTCGCAGGCCCGCACTCAATTCACTGAGCTATGCCAGCCAGGGCATAGCAGAGCTTTTTGGCGTGTAGATAACACCGCCACTGCTCACTGCTGGCCAGTGCCTCACACTCAGAGGCAGACAGCCAGCTTCTTTATCAGGCGAGGAGAGATCCCAAGTGGGGTTGAGTATTTTCACTGATGCCCAGCTGAAGGCTGCTGGGTTGGCTTTCAAACCCAGCTCTTCCCTTGCCATGCTCGGCCCTGCGAGGCCTTTCCGCTGCCCCGCAGGTCTGTGCTGTGGCGTTGGTGGGGCTCAGCCGCCAGACCGCTGCACGGAGTAGTGGGCGGAGTCGGGGGTGATCTGCGAGTGGCCCGGTGCCCTCTCACGCACAGTGCCCGTGCTGGCCTCCGCCGAGTCCGCTGAGTGTGGCGCGGCCCTTCTGTCCTTACTCGAGGGGTATTGCCAGTGTCTGGCGTCCGTTCTCCTGATTCTGGGGCATCTATTTCTTGTATAAGTAGGCCGGTGTTAGCCGTAAAAGGGTTTGTCTTGAGACAGTCTTTCTCGCGCCATAACTGTAATTTTTGCATAAAATCCCAACAGCAGAGTTCCGAGGCCCCTGTTCATATTGTGCTGGCTGACGGGACATTTGCTGGCAGCCTTTTCTGTGTGTATTCGTCAAGGATGTGAATATACACAGTGATCAGATCAAATGAGGCAGAGAGGGCAACGGAGAGAGGCGACGAAGGAAGTGCTTGAGTGAGTCCCTGGAAACAGCACCAGCTCCAGACGGGGTTTCTGTCTGGTCCAAGCAGTGACAGGCTGGAGGGGGCCCACTGGCTCTAGGTCTTCCGATAAGGCTGGGCCTCGGGGCAGGGGGCTCGGCCTCTCGGCTAAGGCTCAGCCTCTTCATGCCCAGCGAAAGCAGCTGGCCATGCTGTTTCTGGGAGTCCTTGACTCAGAAATTCTGAGCTTGCAACTTAACACTGATCAGCTTTGGGGGGCATTGCCACTGCTTCCCGGAACCTGCCACCTGTGTCGATGTGAAGGACAGGAATGCCGTTCCTCCTCGCGGACGATGCAGCCTCTCGGCGTACGTGGTGCTGATCCTCCGAGAGGGATTCGAGTAAAGAGTTGTGGGAGGAAGACCAGCGCACTCTTCCGAGGCAATTTTAGGTTAACGTTCTGATTTCAAAGGAGATACAACCCTTTCTACCAATGCACACTTTAACCGAGCGCCTCCCCCTTGTTTCCCACCCTCTCTCTTCAACAACAAGGAACTCGGCTACGGTGCTTCGCTGGCCCAGAGGAGCCCCAGCGCCCATCACCTGGACCACAAGGTGGAAATAAAGCAGTAGGTAGAACAGGAGCGGTCAGCCGAAGCTCCTGTCTTCCTCCCCCTGGGTCTGACTCTGCCTCCTTCCGTGCTTTTCGGGGCCCCCGCTGCTCTGGCTCCCCACTGCGTCACCCACTCGGACTGGCCACCTGTACCCTTGTGACGTTAACCCTCTGGTGCCACCCACAAGGGCTGCTGTGATGGACATGCTCTGTGTCCGCACCACCCGGTGCGGTGGCACTAGCTGCTGAGTGCTCCAAATGCAGCCCGTGTGACTGAGGAACTAAATTTTTAATTGCACTTCTTTTTATTTGATTTTAATTTAAACAGCCACCTACGGCTGGTGGCTACCAGATGGGGCAGCCCTTTAGCTGGAAGGAAGGAGCGTGGATTTTTTTCTTGTACAGTATTTTAAGAATCTATTTGAGTGGGCTCTAGAACTAGGACCCAAGGGCGAGAATCGTGGCCAAGTGGAAAGAAAATGGCCCGGGAAGCAGGAGGCCTGAGTGCGTTCATTATTTCAGATGTTCACACGGTCATTCAGTAAATGTGCGGGCACCGCGCCAGGGGTAGGGGATGAAGAGAGAGTCCCTGCCTCTGCAGTGCCCACACCCCTGCCGGACAGGAGGGTGGGCACTGGCTGAAATGAGGGTTGGGGGGCCAGTCCGGGAGGCCGACCAGCACAGGACATGCGATCTGGTCCTCAGAGAACGAGTGGAAGTGTGTCCCGGGCTGGGGGAGTGGGGGTGTGGGGTGGAAGTGAGGGTCTTCCAGGGGCACAGGGGCAGGTTTGCTGCGGTCGGTGTGCCCGCGGCGTAGGAGGGACTGGCAGGAGAAGCAGATGAGAAGCTAGTGAGGGGCTCATTCTTGGGACCTTGGGTGGCCGCCCGAGGGCGTGGGACCCTAACCTCACAGGCAGTGGTTTTCAGAACTCAGTTAAAGTGCGTCACTTTCCTGGCCACTTGGTTGGCATTTCATAGCTGCTGAAGCCAATGAGGCCACAGCTGTCACTTGAAGGCCACCCCCTGCCCCCTTCTGTCCACTTCTGGTACTCAGTGAGACAGCTTCCCTGTTCTTTCTGACTCCATTAGAAGTGGAGTCTAAAAGACAAGCATACGACCAAGTTGATACTAATAAGAGATTGTTTTTTATCTCCATTTTGGGGGGAGGTTATGTAAGATTGAGTCTCGAAAACAGATCACCACGCCTGTGGGTTGAAGGTAGCACATCAGCCACAGGCAGGCATGGGCTGGTTCTGGGCATCTCAGGAATGTCCTTGCCGAGAAGTGTAGACCTTTAGAGGTCAGTGTCAGGGAGAGAGCCTGCCTTGCGTTACAGCCCTCGGCGGTCTGTCCCGCACTCATGACAAAGGCAAGTCTGAAGCCGAGTCCTCAGGAGGGGCCCGGCCGTAACCCCGGCAGTGGGCAGTACGTAACCTGTCGGTGTCGCCCGTGGCTTCCAGGTGGAGGAACTCCTTCCTGTGCAGCCTGCTGTTTGGCGTCCCTGTGATGGGCCTGATGGTCTACATGATGGTGACCGGCAGGGAGCCCCACAAGTCGACAGCCCTGCACCACAACATCATTCCGGGACTGTCCGTCCTGAATCTCGTCTTCTTTATCCTGTGCACCTTTGTCCAGGTGCGTATCGGGTTCGGAAAGGAGTCCCACCTCTACGCTACGTGCCTGAGTGCGGCCAGCGCTTTGTTGCCTCTTTCCTCACCCACCCCAGCCAGCTGAGGCCTTTTTCCGTCCTGTGACCAGCAGCACGGTGACCTCCAACTCAGAGGATGTAAGAGACCTGTTGGTCGCAGGTGGCCGACGTCTCCCTGGCACGGCGGCCGCCATGCTGCAGGGGCTTGCTTGTTGTTTACCTGAACTCGCCTTTGTTGTTAGAAGTGGCAGTTGTATCACATGGAGCTCATGCTTCTCTTTAACATCTTGAGTGGCAAAGGTGTGGCCCTGAGGAAATTATAATTTAAAAGAGACAGGTCTCATGGGACTTCTGGTTTGGGGGCAGCCTGAAGGAACTAGCCATGTTTCTGTTGGGAAGCGTGGCCTTGTGTATTTTGGAATATAAAATAAAACTCCTGATTTAATCATGAAAAGTTTAAGCTATCTAGAGGCTAGTCTTTGTAGGCCAGATTTGTGGGTTTTTTCTCTATTTTATTTTTTTAAGATTTTATTTACTTATTTTTAGAGAGGGGAAGGAGAAAGAGAGGGAGAGAAACATCAGTATGTAGTTGCCCCTCGTGCATCCCCAGCTGTCTGTGCACCTGGCCTACAACCCAGTCATGTTACCTGACTGGGAATCGAACCAGCAACCCTTTGGTTCACAGGCCAGCACTCAATCCACTGAGCTACATCAACCAGGACTGTATTTTCTCTTTAATTCGAAATGTAATACACATTGATTGTAAACATTCTGAGCCTCACTGAAGTAGAAATAGAAAAGAGGGAGCCACTCTTCGACTGCTCGCGCCCCGCCTCCAGCCCGATGCCATTCCCCAGGGTCACCTTATCGTCCCTCCTTAACACTGGGTGTGTGCCTTTCATCTGCATTGGTGGTATTTACCCGTGAATGTACGTGTGTCTACACGTTCACATAAAGCGGCCACAGTGCCTTAGATGTACTGATTTGTAACTGGCTTTCCCACTTAATCGAGTGATACAGGCATCTTTCACTCTAGGCCTTTGTAGATCCCGCACATTCTCGTTAGGGAGCACAGAGCGCTGGCCACGGTATGAATGAGGTGTGATGTGGGTCACCGTTGTCACCATTCTCCTATTGAGGGATGTGTAGCTGGTGTACTTGGAGTTTTAAAGGTCTCCCATGCCCTTGATTATTTGTTCCTGTGGCCACCAGTAGCCTGAGTCAGGAAGCACATTTCAAAAATGTTGATCACAGAGGAGAAAAATAACATCAACATTGGGGGTGAGCCCGGGGTCTCCGCCAGCCCCAGGGGTCTCGGGGCCTCCGTTCGCTCCTTGGACAGCAGGCCCTGCTTGTCCCAGCTCACTGCCCGCCCTCTGCCTTCCAGTTCCTCGGCGGGTGGTACTTCTACGTGCAGGCCTACAAATCCCTGAGACACAGGATGGCCAACATGGACGTGCTGGTCGTGCTGGGCACGAGCGTCGCCTACGTCTACTCGCTGGTCATCCTGGTGGTGGCCCTGGCCGAGGAGGCCGAGAGGAGCCCCGTGACGTTCTTCGACACGCCGCCCATGCTCTTCGTGTTCATTGCCCTGGGGCGGTGGCTGGAACACGTGGCCAAGGTAACTGCAGCTTCAGGCGAAAGCACCGTAGAGGCAGCGCCGCAGATCTTAGTTCATCTGAACTCCGTTTAGGCTTACTAATTACACACAATCTAGAGAGAGACTTAGGGAAATGTGAGACCTGCCTGTAATTAGGTGCCTCCACCACCGAGCTGCAAGTCGGTGGCTACTTCTAAAATCCCAGCTAATCTGGTAAATTACTCAAACCTTTGTTCAAGTGCATCGGTCTTGGCAAGCGCCCTGGATTTCGGGTCAGAGGTCAGGCCGTCTCTCAGCGCCTACGCCGCGCATGGCTTGTGAGCCCAGAAATGCACACTGCCACCGTCCGGCCGTGCCCCTTGGAGCACCATCCCCGCATGGCCCTCGGCCTTTTACCTTGTCTGCGAACAAGGGGGCTCTGTCCCTGGAAGACATGGGATTGAACCTGAAATAATTGTCAGTGGGTAGATCGGTATTGGTTTTTTTTTCCTTTCGGTCTGAAGTGTAGTTCACTGAACTATGTGGCATTGGCGCGTGCAGCGTGACGAGGCCCTGACCGTGTGCAGACACGGGCAGCGTGGCACAGCTTACGGACGTGCCCTTCGGTGTCCTGTGTTGGGGGCAGCGTTTCCTGCAGGTGTCAGTTTACAGCAGCTCTTATTTTACGTTCTGGTTGTCAGAGCAAAACCTCAGAAGCCCTGGCCAAACTCCTATCTCTCCAAGCCTCAGAAGCCACCGTGGTGACCCTTGGTGAGGACAACCTAATCGTCAGGTGGGTTGCCTTCGCCACCCAGAGTCCTCGGTCAGTGTCTGTCCATCAGGGTGACTCGCATTGAACGCCCGGCGTATACATGACACTGCACGAGACCTTGTGAAGGCGGGCGAAGACACACTCGGCGAGGTCCCTCCTGCAGTCCAGTGATGCACACCAGGCATTTAAATACCAAGAGACAAGCCCAAGTTCACGGTGGTGTGTGTGTGCTGGGTGCGGGTGAGTGGCCCTGGGCTTCAGGAGAAGCTGGCCGCAGTCAGGAACAGCGTCGCAGGGGGCGCGGGGTGAGAGCCGGGCCTTCCTGGAGGGATGGAGGGCGCAGACAGGCTGAGACGGGTTTCAACCCTCCCAAGGATAAAAAAGGAAGTGCCAGTAGTTTTCTTCTCCACGAGGTTGGCCGATGTTAAAAATAATGGTTATTCTTATTATTGCTGGGACTTATTTACTGTTTGCCATCTCTTTGTACTTAAAAAAAAATAAAACTTGTGAGGAAGGGACTACTACTATTAGTGCCCTTATTTTAAAGGTGAGGAAAACAGAATTTTCGCGCTGCTGCTCTCGGATGAGGGGCGTGAGGTCAGGGCCGCGTCCGCCTTGCTCACGCTGTGTCCCTGCACCTGGTGGTCACCAGGCTGAGGCCCAGCGAGCGGCTGTGCGTGTGACTGGGGGGCCGTTTGTTGCAGAGAGGAGCAGGTGCCCGTGGAGCTGGTGCAGCGGGGCGATGTCGTCAAGGTGGTCCCCGGGGGCAAGTTCCCAGTGGACGGGAAAGTCCTGGAAGGCAACACCATGGCCGATGAGTCCCTCATCACAGGTCAGCGGCCTGTTTTGCTCTCCCTCCGGCCTGGCGCCGGCGCTGTTGCTGGGTCTCCGGAATGGGGCCCACAGCCGCCTCACTCTCCTCCTGCAGGCGAAGCCATGCCCGTCATGAAGAAACCGGGGAGCACGGTGATCGCCGGGTCCATGAACGCGCACGGCTCTGTGCTCGTCAGCGCCACGCACGTGGGCAGCAACACCACCTTGGCTCAGATTGTCAAGCTGGTGGAGGAGGCTCAGATGTCGAAGGTGCAGGGAAAACATGAGAAACAGAATCCCTCCTGCCTCCTCACTGTAGAAACCACCCTGGGAGTTCCGCCGAAGCAGGCGGACGCAGGGCGGAGAGTCGATGAGGGAACAGAGGATCCTGGGCCTGGTCCGTTCCCACGGTGCAGGTTGTCCTTGACCTCGGTCTTGGTGTTTTATTTTCACAGGCACCCATTCAGCAACTGGCCGACCGGTTCAGCGGCTATTTTGTCCCATTTGTCATCATCATTTCAACGTTGACGTTGGTGGTATGGATTATAATCGGTTTTGTTGATTTTGGTGTCGTTCAGAAATACTTTCCCGTAAGTTGAGCGCCGTGGGCTGTGTGGTTGTTGGGTTTCAGACGCTCTATTGCCATTAACTCTGTCCTTTCACGCCTTCGACTTGTTGGGCTTTAATTACGTGTTGCGTCTTGTGAGCTTGCTTCGAGTACTGGCAGCAAATTCCTGAGCCAGGGTGGGACGGTCACTTACTGCTGGGGGCTTTTATTGAAGGTGGCCTCTGTGTCCTCATTAGGTAATTTCACAGACTTGGCTCTCAATTGCAATGCTTAAAGCATTTACCTCAGGCAGTACTGACCATTTGGGGAGTTCCAAAGCACACCCCACAAAAAAAAATCGGTCACTTTGGGTTTTGATGGCATGATAATATCATTTAACACATTTTAGGAAAACTATATATATTTTTGCTGTTTGTGTTTATAAGGATCATCTTTAACCTTGCAGCTTCCCAAGCAAATGCTAATAGCTTTTTAGTGAATATTTATTTATTACACATTATATAGGAGGCAAATGGAAGATGCATTTTTGAATTTAAAAAGTGGGTGAAGAATACTATCTTAAGGAATGTTGTTTTATCCAAATTATAAAAAGGTGAAAAATACAAAAAAACACAATGCTTTTCTGCTACAGAATATGGAATCACATCCATAAAAATCAGTGATTTGTCACGGGAGTGATTTCATTGCCCCAGGGGCACTTGGCCACATTTGGAGACACGACCGTTGTCCTGACCAAGGAGGGGAGGCCCCTGGCACCCAGTGGGTGCAGATGGGGACACTGCTCACACCCTGCCACGCACCAGGCAGACCCGTCAACAAAGAATGACCTGGCCCCAATTGTCAGTGGTGCGGAGTCGGGAGACCTTGGTGTGCGGAAAACACTGCTGGCCCACTTAGGGTAGATTTGATAACTGCCTAGTGAGTAGAGCAATGTTTACCTTATTTTTGAAAATGTCTCACATTTAGCTCAGTGTAATGTGTATTTTACCCTAGAGCCCTAGAATAAGAAACTGCAACTATAGAATGGATAATATTTTTTAAAAACTATTTTTACCTGTATTTAAGACATATCATATTCTTGGGGTGCATGCCATTCACAGAGATGTCATTTTCTCCCCCAAATTTTCTATCTCGAAATGAGAGAATCGCTTCTCGGCCTTTTGGCTAAGATCAAGTGAAATGAGAAGTGCCCGAGCTGGACACGCTCTGACATTTGAGGAGACCTCAGTGCCGTTAGGGGTAACCTCTGACTGTATTCCTAGAATTTGCCCTTGGCCGCCCGAAGCTTCTCTCTTGTGGGAGCGCTGAGCGCTGTCGGCCTGCGGCGGTGGGGAGACCCAGCCCTGACGAGGCTGGGAATTGCGGCTTCCCACTGCTGCCTGCCTTTCTGTCTTACTCTGGCTTCTTTTGTTTTATCTGCGTTGTCAGGGAGGATGCTGGCAAACGAGGTACTGCATGTTCCTTTAAGATACTGTCATGGCCTTGCTCTCTGAAAGTCCCTGTAGGGACAAGACTCAGGTCACTTCTAGAAGTCCACCCAGTCCCATTGGAATGACAGCTGTTGTTCTAAGAATTACCGTTTAAACACACACACACACACACACACACACACACACATTGTTTTTACCTCTAAGAACTGCATTATGTCTTAAGACAGCATGTTCATCTACCTAAATCCAACTGTTTATATGAAAATTAAATGGCCCTTTAGTAATATATCTTACTTCAGAATCTTGCCTTTCACAGTCGAAGAATAAAGGGTAGACGGAAGCTAAGGAAGTTGCGTTCTGTGTCCTTGATTTAGAAAACACGCTTTTCATTGTAATTAAGTGAATATAGTGTCTCCTGATTATATTCCAGAGACACTAGCCATTTTAAAACATAAACCAGGATGACTGAAGCTGTCAGAATGCAAATGATACCAGTGTGTGCCACCGTGCTCGGAGAGGAGACCCTTATTTTGTTTGGGGGGATTTACAAAGAAAACAGCAGCGGTTTAGGCCTCTGGGCGGTTTTGCATTTCACTCCCCGCCTGCCTCTCTCTCCTGTCCGCAGACGCCCACCAAGCACACCTCCCGGGCCGAGATGGCCATCCGCTTTGCCTTCCAGACGTCCATCACCGTGCTGTGCATCGCCTGCCCCTGCTCTCTGGGCTTGGCCACGCCCACGGCGGTCATGGTGGGCACCGGCGTGGCCGCCCAGAATGGCATCCTCATCAAGGGTGGCCAGCCTCTGGAGACAGCCCACAAGGTGGGTCCCGGGCACCAGGGCTCCTGGCCGGCCTTGGGGGTCATGGCTGGGCCGATCCTGTAGCTGTTTCCTACACGATGTTATTTTTTTAACTCAGAGGACTGGTGACAGTAGTATCTGTGTGAATGTCACGGGAAGAGAGACGACAGAGAGAGGCCGAGGGTCTAGCACTGTTTATCGAGTCGAACAGGAAGCCAGGGCTGGTGGACCACAGCTGCCGCAGCAGCTGCTAACTGTGGCAGAAGCGACACTTTGTGAACTGCAGGTGATTTAATCCAACCGACAGCTCTGAGGGGGTGCTCACGGTGCCCATTTCCCAGATGAGGGAAGTGCAGTGGGAGGGCCAGGCACCTTGCCCAGAGGCCTGCACTGTCAGCGGCAGAGCTGAGATCCACACCCGCAGGGCGGCGCCGGCTTGGCATCTGTGTGGTCGGCACAGGGACCCTGTGACTGTGGGCAGTGGAGTGATGGGCAGTCGTCTATGGGAACCTTCCCTTGGCCATGGGTACCAGTCCTTAGCCTTCTGTTGACGTATTCAGTATTAGCTGAGCATTTACTATGTGCAGGTCCTGTGTTGGCCCTGATCACGGTTCTTAATGATCAAGGGTGCAGAAAACCAGGTGCGCAGTGAGCCGACGGCAGGGCGCGAGGCTGGCGGGTCAGTTTGACAGGGGCTAGTTATTTGCTGAATAATAAATGAGGGACCGAAGGAAAATCATTGGGAAGCACTGGTAGGACATCAGGCCGCTAAGGGGAGAAGGGAGGCAGAGGGGCCGTGATGGGCCCGGGGGGTTATTAAAGGACTCGGAACGTAACCGGAAGAACGGCAGGGAGCCGTGGAGGGGTCCGTGTCACGTGGCTGGAGTACCTGGTGGGAAGATCCGGCTGCAGACGAAGGATGGGCCCTTGGGAGGCGTGACCTGTTGGAGGAAGACCAGGCGGTAGCGTTGCAGGGGCCAGTGCCCCACAGCGGAGGCAGAGCGGGGCTGCTGTGTATTGAATGGGGGGGACTCTGCTGGGGGCGCAGCCTGAACATGGGCAGTAGGTGGTCTTCCCTGGGGTCACCTGAGTCCAGGGGTCGGCGGGTTCCCGTGTGGCTGCCGCTGACTGGCTGGCCCGCCTGTGGGGACCAGTGCGGAGCTGCGGTTGACCGAGTGGAACAGGCCTGAAGACTGGCTCCAGCCTTACAGGTTTCCAAGGCCGGGAACGCTCCCTTCCTTGAACTTGGAGTGAACTGCCAGAGAAAGCCGCAGTTGTCCCCGCAGATGGCAGGAGGCAGGGGGACAGGCTGACGCCCAGAGCCCTGGCTCCCGACCTGACCGAAGGACAAAGCTGCCGGTCTTTCCATTTCTGCCCGGGCGACGGTGATGTGCCATCTTCTGTGGGCACATCCGCGGGAGCTTCTGTCTCAGCATGGTTCCGGTCGAGCCACAGTGTGGGTTTTCTGACCAGGCAGAGAGGGGGCCTGCTTCCGCAGGGGGGTGGTTGGACCTTGGGGCCGACGCAGACGGTCGTGGCAGGGAGCAGGAAGGAGCGCTGCCTGCGTGCGGGCATTCGAGTGAAGTCGTGTCTCCAGGTGGCGTGCACCCCGAGTCCCTCCCACCTGTACTTGTGGCAACCGGCCTGTGCTTGTCCTGGCAGATAAAGACTGTGATGTTCGACAAAACCGGCACCATCACCCACGGGGCCCCCAGGGTCATGCGGGTCCTGCTGCTGGTGGACCCGGCCACACTGCCGCTCAGGAAGCTGCTGGCCGTGGTGGGGACTGCGGAGGCCTGCAGCGAGCACCCCTTGGGCGTGGCCGTCACCAAGTACTGCAAAGAGGTGCGTGGGCCCGGGCATCGCCCATCCCCCGCTCCTCCCCCAGGGTCTCTCCCCACAGCTCCTTCCTCCTCACAGGCTTTCGTCCCAGCTGCCTGCGGGGAGGCCTTGGCTCTGGGGTCTGGGTCGCCCTGTCTGGGGTCCCTGTCCTGCCTCTCTCACCTCCCCTCTCCCTGTTTTCTGGCCCCTCGCCCTGCTCCCTCCCTTCACAGGAACTCAAAACAGAGGCCTTGGGATACTGCACAGACTTCCAGGCTGTGCCAGGCTGTGGCATTGGCTGCAAAGTCAGCAATGTGGAAGGCATCCTGGCCCACAGCAAGCACCTGAACGAACGGGCCCCTCACCCAAACGGGGTTGGCAGTGTCCCCGCGGAAACAGGTACCCCTGGCTTTTGCCTCTGCCGCCCAGCCTGCCAGGCCGGGCCAGGTGGCAGCGTGCCAGACCACAGAGAGCGCCGCGCCAGGCACGCCACCTGCTCTCCCTTCCCCACCCGCACGCCTCCCTCCCCGGGAAAGTGTGCAGCTTCTCCTGTGTTCTCTGTCTCGTCTGACTCTGCCGCTAACCGATGGCAGACAAAGGTAGTCCACTGGGCAAATCTATAGGGTACCTCTCATACTTTTAGTCTCCTCTTTCTTATCCTGAGTTGGCCTTGCTGCTCTGGAGCTACCAAGCAGACATGTGGGGATTCCGGTCTGCTCTTCCCAGGCAGGAACCCAGCCACGTGGTAGAACTCGGGTGGGAGGTTGTATTTCCAGAGCTGGCCAAAGTCAGGGGAAGCCTGTGATGGGAATGGTCCGTCCAGGTGAAGAAGGGGCATTGCTGGGAGTGACAGCTGCTTTTGAATAATGGCCCGTCTCATTCTAAGGGCCGCTTGGTAGCCCTGGGCATAAGGGTGCAGAAACATCCCACCCCCCAAACCGAAACCTGTGTCTAGTGTTTTTTCTTAAGGATGTCGGTAGTTGAATCTTGCTATAGACTTTACTGTTAGAAGCCTTGTATTGCCTTCTAGCAACTCGAATAAAGCCCTAGATAGACCTTTCTACTTTGTTTCTAAGGACCGGTCCGCGCAGTGACGCCTAAGTTACTGGTACACGGGAGGTGGCCGGTGAAAGAGTCTCCCAGCCTGTGAGGAGGTGTAACTCTGAGAGATCTCAGAGAAGTGGGCGGACCGAGGGCCGGTCAGGCTGGGTCACCCCTGCCGAGCAGTGAGGGACCGAGTCAGCACTTGCCTTGGTGCTGGAGAAACACAAACAGCCTGGAAAGGAAGCAGCAGGTCCCCTAGAGGCAAATGAGGACGCCACACAGTGTTTGATATGTTTCTGCCATTTTCACACGTGGAGCGTGTGCCCTAAACGCCTGTTTTAATCATGCCCACCTGTCCTGCACGCGGTCCTTCGGGTGGTGGTGAGCGGCGCCCCCTGGGCTCAGGGGTCTCAGAACGGGAGGCGGCACTCGCACCGTGACCAGCGTTCTGTAGTGTCTGCTGCTCTCACGACGGACGTGTGTTCTCTGGGGTGACCACCGGCTCTTTCCACTAGACGCCGCCCCCCAGACCTTCTCCGTGCTGATTGGGAACCGAGAGTGGATGAGGCGCAACGGCTTAGCCATTTCCCGTGACGTCAGTGACTCAATGACCGACCACGAGAACAAGGGCCACACGGCCATCCTGGTGGCCATCGACGGTATCACTGCGCTCGCGCCTTCCTCCTGCGCGTGGAGATGAAGTGGCCTGGGGATGGGGGGCAAAGATGGATTCTGCCCTTTAAAAAAAAATAGCCCTTCCTCTCTGTCGATTCTGGCCCTGCCTTGGCAAAGGGGCCTTGCTGCCCTCCTCCCGAGGCTTTTCCTGTGTCCTCTCCCCATCCTCACCCCAGAGCCGCTCCACCCGGGCAGCGGCTCCGTGATCCTGGAAGTCAGTCCTCCCTATCAGTGCGGCTCCCGGCCAGGCCGACCTGGCCGTGGTGGGCCAGATGGGTCACAGTGCAGGAGGTCTGCCTGCCTGAAATCACGAGGTCTGGCAACTGGCCCCCGAGGCACGTGAAATCGCGTGTAGACTCAGTACCCAGCAGTGCCTTGGGCTGTAGGTCTCAGAGATTTGGGCCTGCTTTCCCTGGTGTTAGTTTCTGTTCACGGAAGTAAAACTGTTGCAAATGGGAAATAACTTATGTTGCCGTCTTTTGACTGCTCTAGCCAAATTTGTCCTCTTCCCATTCTCTTTTTCCCTCCTGCCACCCCCAGCCCACCTCCTAAGTCCTTGTGAACCCACAGTGCCCTCGGCTCATCGGAGCAGCGCTGGCCGGCCCCTCGAGGGGCCAGCCCCCTGCAGTATCCCAGTCACCTTCACTCCGCTCCCCTCACACCTGCTCAGCATCTAAAAGATCCACTCAAAAACAATTTCTACGCAAGTGGTTTTGGTCATAAAAGAAAAAAAGAAAGTATTAGTTTTCTCGCTGTTCAGACACTTCATTGCTTTCTAAGTAGCATTTGTTGTGTTTGTTGTATTTTAATAGCTAACGTATATTGAGTTATGAGCCACGTACTCTGCAAAGTAATAGATGTACCTTGCAGAACACCTGGGAAATTCTGAGCGCTATAAAGAAGAAACTGGAATCACTCATTACCTTGCCCCTCAGAGCCCAGCTGACATTCTGACAGCCTTTCCAGGCTCCTGGATGCATTTGTCAATGTGTGTAGGTTTTACAGAACAGAGTCAAACCACGCTGCGTCCTGCAATGGCCTGTTTGCACGTGATGCATGTGGTCTGCTGCGGTGCCCTCACTGCGCTGTCCCCGCAGGGCTGCTCTGTGGAATGATCGCCATCGCAGACGCCGTCAAGCCGGAGGCCGCCCTGGCTGTGCACACCCTGAAGAGCATGGGTGTGGACGTGGCCCTGATCACGGGGGACAACCGCAAGACAGCACGGGCCATTGCCGCCCAGGTACGGGCTGGGCCCTCTCCCCTCCCCATCACCGAAGTGGTTCTAGGCTCATAGAAGCAGTTTGAGAGGAAAAGAAATGCCCGTGACCTGGTGCTCAGCTCTGCGTCTGTGCTCCCCTGGCCGGCTGCCTCTCCCACCAGGTGGCGTCTCCCCCCAACCCCACCCTGGGGTCACCCAGCTGCCCCAGCCTGGGCCTCCCCACTGTGGGCCTGGGGGCTGTCATTCATGATGGAGCAAGTGCAGCCTGGAGAAGCACTTCCATCTTCCCCGTGAACCAAAAGGAACCATGGCTTCAGGGGTGACATGAACAAGCAACTCTGGGGTCCTTTTGTTGAAGGCATGTTTTGCCAGCTCCCACTTCCCAGCCATGGGTGCAAGACACGCAGTGGCCCCCCGGCAGCCCTGGGCTCTTGGGTGTGGGCCGTGCGGACAGTGCTGCCGTGTGCTGTCACAGCCTAGAACATGGGGCTGGGGGGGGGGGCTCCAGTGCATCTGCACCCCTCCTCCCAAAACACGCGTCGGCTTGTACGATTTTGGAAATGAGTTGCTCCCTGTGAGGGAGGCAGCAGTGCCCCTCTTCTCAGGGCACTCCTCGCTAACGAAGGGTGTGCTGAGTCACTCCCCTTCCTGGTGAAAACTCATTCATCCGCCCAGCAAGCACTTACTAAGCGCTGCCCATGTGACAGCAGACTCCAGAGGGCCGTGAGGGGAGGGGGTTCCTGCCCTGAAGGAGGCCCTGTGGGGAGGGTGGTCCGGTGACCAACTGTGCATTGAGCACTCGGTGCTTCTGCAGAAGAGCGCGCAGGGCACGTGGGAGCCGCCAGCTCACCATCGGCAGGTGGGGCCGGGGGGGGGGGGGGCTTCCCAGGGGAGGGCCTACTTGATCCGGAGTGGTCTGAGGAGGAGGAGGGCGCAGGCTGGGGGGAGGCAAGCTGACCTTTCCAGGCAGCATGGGTCACGGTGCGATGGACAGCAGGGAGCCGTGTGGTGCGGAGCTTGGCTTGTGCCTGCCGGGGCCACGAGGCCGGGCACTGGAGACGGGCAGAGGTCTAAGGGGCCTTGGGAGCAGGCCGAGGAGTTGAGATGTCCCAAGGACATGGGTCCCCTGGAGGACTCGGCGCAGGAGAGTAAATGACCAGAGGGTCATGGTTTAGGAGGCCAGGGCGAGGGCCCCAAAGCCCTGGTCTTGGGTTGGGGTCTCAGCTAAACTGGCCACGTGGCCTGGAACTGGGAGGGCTTAGTGACTGACGTCATCGCCTGGACCTTGAGGCTGGGGTTGGGGGTGAGCAGGATGACTCTTGGGTTTCTCGACTGTCCCTGCCCTCTGCCAACACCAGCTGCGTTGTCACACACTGATTTTTGGGCTGCCGTTCCCTTTCCTTTCAGGTTGGCATCAACAAAGTCTTCGCGGAGGTGCTCCCTTCGCACAAGGTGGCCAAGGTCCAGGAGCTCCAGAAGGAAGGGAAGAAAGTGGCCATGGTGGGGGACGGGGTCAACGACTCCCCGGCCCTGGCCCAGGCGGACGTGGGCATCGCCATCGGGACAGGCACGGACGTGGCCATCGAGGCGGCCGACATCGTTCTCATCCGAGTGAGCTCACTCGCTGACCCCTCCTCCCCCGTGCGCAGGCCAAGGGTGCCCTCAGGGCCGCGGGGCGCAGCCTGGGCCTCAGCAGCGGTTCCTCTCCTGCAGAGCGACCTGCTCGACGTGGTGGCCGGCATTTGCCTGTCCAAGAGGACGGTCTGGAGGATACGGCTCAACCTGGTGCTGGCGCTGATCTACAACCTGGTGGGGGTCCCCATCGCGGCAGGTAAGGGGGCTCTGCCGGCCCGGTGTCCGCTGCACTTGGTGAGCAGCCCACCTGGCTGGCCGGCCAGCCAGAGGATTTTAGAAAGAGTTGATTTCATTATGTTCTCCGCTTGCTGAGTCTCTGAAGGTCAATGAGGATCTGCAGAGGCCGCCCAGACCTGCATTCACTCTGGTTCCCTCTGCAGAGCCGCCCAGGGGGCTGACTGTTTGCTCACTGCGGCCCTATTTTCTGAGCCATGGGTTACACACATGGTCTGGGAAAGAGTCATCATTAACAGTGTGGGGCCCCTGCTACACGCTGGGCACCCCGACTGGTGTTTTAGAGCCTCGCCCTGAAAACTCATCCCGCCTTAGACTGACCTCTGTCAGAAATGATCATGGGAAGACCTGGGCTGCTTCTGCCTTATAGCTCCTCCCTTCCCTGTTGGATACCGAGTTACCAGATATGAAAGAGTTCCAGACACTTCCGCAAGGAAAGGCGCCCGCCTGGGCTGAGCCTAAAGTGTTTAAACACGCTGCTGCCGCCTCAGGTGCCCCGATGCACTGGAGTGGTGGAAGGAGCCTCACTTGACCAGGCAGCATGTCCACCTGAGCCTCCTGCACCGAGGGGAGGCCCGGCCAGTGTCACTCCTGCCCCCAGGGCCGGCACAGGCACCAGTTCCCACCCGAAAGGCTCTGGCCCTGTCCTGGGGCTTTTTGCTCCATGGTGCGGAGACCAGCCGTGCAGACCCATGTATAGCTCTGGAAGTGCAGGCTGAGTGCTCCCACAGTCCCTGCGTGTCCTGGGACAGGTGGTGGTCACCCCTGTGGTCCCCAAGAGCCCCTGCCCCCTGGAGCTTCCCTTGAAACTGGTGATGGCTCCCGTGGACGGGCCCAGGAAGCCTGGGTGGGTAGGAGACCCAAGGCCCCTCAACTGCGCCCCCCACTGCCCAGCTCTGAGACAGCCCCGTGGACGTGTGGGTGCGGGGCATGGCATCCGGGCCGGAGCCTTGCTGAGACCTTCCTGGTGGGCCCTCTTCCTGCGCCCCCCTGGGGGCCGCAGAGTGAGTGTCGCGTCCCCCTCTGCAGGCGTCTTCATGCCCCTCGGCATTGTGCTGCAGCCGTGGATGGGCTCGGCGGCCATGGCGGCGTCCTCTGTGTCCGTGCTCCTGTCTTCGCTGCAGCTGAAGTGGTGAGTCCTCACCGGCAGAGCCGCCGGCACGGGGCGGGCTTGGGCTGGCGTGGGTGTGGCAGACTCCTGGTTCGTGTACCGAAGGCCGGGACCGGAGGGACCTAGTGGAGCCCGGCGCTGTTTGTACAAGCATTTATTAGCACCGAGAGCCCGTAATCTGTCACTGAACAGCCATCACCTGCTGGGCCGGGCAGTCGTCCTGCTGCGGACATAACTCGGCTATGGCTGCGGCGCCGCGCACCAAGGAGCGTCCCTGGGCGACTTCGTCCTTTTGCCAGTACCCCAGAGGCACTTCCACAAAGTGGGGGGGTCAGCCCGGTGGCGTCACCTGCCGCTCCCAGGTCGCGCGCCCGTGCAGCACGTCACTGCGCAGCACAACACGGGACTAATCCAGGCACAAGGGAGGGTGATGCGGCGGTAGACGCGGTCGCCTTGAGGTTACGGCTGCGGGCGTGACGCCGCGAGGCGCTTCATGCAGGCTTGTCTCGCGGACGGAATCAGTCCAAAAGAGCAACAGAAAGCGTAGTGTCTCCATAAACCCTCCACGTGACCGGTCGTCATCGTGGCCCAATGTCGTGCCGCGCGTGTGTCCAACAGGCAGCATAGGAGGTGTGTCTACACCAGCCTCGCCACACACCCGGGGGTCCGGGTTGTGTTGTCACCATGGCCCTGACATCACAATGGCCATGACGTCTCGAGGTGACAGGAATCTTTCGGCTCCATTACACTCTTGTGGGACCTCTGTCATGTACGTGGGTCCGCTGCTGACCGAAGTGTTGCTGTGTGGCCCGTGATGGAACTTGTGTATTAACAGGCTCCCTGTTTTGAAATGGGTGTTTACTTTTACTTAGAAAGGCTTTCATTTGATAAAAGGCAGTGACAGCCTCCCGGGCACCAGGCATTTGGACAGGTGGTGCTTGAGTGGGCAGCGTCCGCCCGGCCCCTGGGGCTCGGCACTGTGTGTCACTGGACGACCGGGGTGCGAGGCCTTTACTGGGCTTTGGAAGCCTGTGTCCAGAATGGTTCAGACGCTCATGGGCTCTCACTCTGCAGGTATAAGAAGCCGGACCTGGAGAGGTACGAGGCCCAGGCCCAGGGCCGCCTGAAGCCCCTGACCGCGTCCCAGGTCAGCGTGCACATCGGCATGGATGACCGGTGGCGGGACTCCCCCAGGGCCACGCCCTGGGACCAGGTCAGCTACATCAGCCAGGTGTCTCTGTCCTCCCTGAAGTCCGACAAGCCGTCTCAGCATGGCGCCACGGCCAAGGACAGTGGGGACAAGTGGTCTCTGCTCCTGAATGACCAGGACGAGGAGCAGTGCATCTGAATGCGCCCATGTGGCACACACCCAGGGCCCGATGTCCTCGCTGGCCTGCAGCTCTAGCCCCGCAGGGCAGCTCCGTGGCCAGCTGCAGGGCAGGCGAGGCCTCGGGCACTTTGGCTCCTGGCCAGGCCGGGTCTTTCCTCCCTGTGGCAGGCGGCGCTGCCCAGATGGGGCTCCTGGGTGGGACCCCTGCCTGGATCCCGCAGGCCCCAGGCGAGGCTTCGCTCGTGCCATGGGGTGGGTCTGTTGAGGACCTGGCTGGGCTACAGTCGGGGGGCAGGGGCGAGATGCAGCCAGCCCTCCCCACAGGCCTCTGCTTCAGCCTCGGGGATGATTCCCTGGGAAATGAGGAAACTCTCACCTTGACCAGACTGAGCTGAGCTGGGCTGCAGAGCTCATGGGAGACCTTGGTGCCTTGCTCTTCATTCTGACACCCACGAACATCACTTCTCTACGACCAGTTTACCTCACGTGTGCCCTTTAGTTTCTGCCGCTTCCATCTCTCTCTCTTCTGGCCTTGACCCTGGGTGGAGGGGCACCCTCGCCATCTTCCAGGGCAGGACTGACATCCTTACATCTCAGCTGCTGTGCTCAGTGCTTCGGCAGTCAGGTGCACCCTCCGGAGGGCCGCTCAGACTCCCCCCTGGGCCTGGGACAGGTCGTTCTTGCCTGGGGGCCACTTCTCCATCGGGGCTGGTCTTCCTGCCCCTCAGACAGGTGCTGCCCAGCGGGAGGGAGGGGCTTGCTTAGAGCCTGAGACTCGAAACCCTGCCTCCTGCAGTGTCCCTGCTTGGGCCATGGGAGCTTGTCAGGGAGGCCTGTGCAAGCAGGAACCTCCTTCAGGACACCAGCAGCCTCCGTGCCATGGTCTGCCATGTGATGTCACTCAGTCCAAAAGAGAAGTCACGTCAGGGGTGTGCCGGGGGTGTGGGGCTCGAAGGAGCGATGCCACATCAAAGGGGGTCATGGCTCCCCTCCTCATGCTCCTGCTGCTTCTGCATGTCCAGACGGTGGTGCTTTAGAACAGGGGTGGCCGTGACCTCCCAAGGGCAGAGCCCTTTTGTCGTTTTCAGCGGCTGTTTGTGATTGCACGACATTGGAAGGACAGGAATGTGGCTAGTTCCAGGCTTTGCAGTTGCTGGTGTGGGAATAGACTGGTGGAACCAGAATCTTAGAATTCTAAGTGCTCTGCCTAGTCTGGATTAAAGGTGAATCCCTTGTCGCAGGCACAGAATCATTTTATTTATTGTCAGTTATTTTCCAAGGCCACGCTGAGAACTCTTTATACGTTCCCTCTGATCCTGCCAAACAAACCAGCAGAGGGGATGCTGCAGTCCACCCTCCACAGGCAGGGAAGCGGGCTCCGAGGGTGAGGGTCCTGCCCAGGGTCACGCAGCCAGGACCCGTGTCCGAGCAGAGCCCGAATCCAGGTCTGCGGGCTCTGACGTCTTTCTCTGCTGCCGCGGAGCCCGGAATGTTCCTCGATAAGAATAAACCAGAAAAGGCCCTTGCTCCTGGAGGGACGGACCAGCCAGGGGGTGTGCTCATTGGTGGACGTGGAGTGAAATTTGATCACTAGGCCATGTCCCCTTCCCTTGGATGAGTTGTTTCTGTTTTTGCATCTGATTTCATTTCTGCCGGGTCTTGCCCTCTAAAATCCAAGTGCAGGGTTGCTTTGTGTTTTTATTCTTTCAGTCTTTTCTTCCCCAGCCCCTTCCTGCCATGGGTCCCCGATCATTGTCATTCTTGGCTGTATTGGGGGAGCGTTTATTGTCACCTGACTAGGCTAATCATTTTCAGAAGACTAATTGCAATGATTTTTTTAAAGTTTTTAGGACCATCCACATGTTTATATAGACATGAAGATATTTATGTACTGTATAGAAAATAAATTTTTAGATGTTCAAATTGGGTGGGAGTTGGAACAATTCCTGCTTCAGAAACTTTTCATGCTCTATTAGAATAAAGCTTCTTTTAACTCATCAAAAAAACCCTGCTTTTGGCTGGCCCTGTCTGAGTGAGCAGCGCTGCCTTAAGGGAGAACCTTGAGGGGGCTGGCTTTGCTCTTAGTGCCCTTGGAGGGTGGCGGTCCTAGCCATGGCCGCTGAACCTTCCCGTTGGCCTTCCCCAGCACTGGGCGATTGGCCTGCCCTACTGGTGTGTGGGGAGCCCTCTGAAGGGTTGCCCATGTCAGGGCGTCTGTCCCCCTGGGCACCCAGCCCCAGTTACCCTGGTGATGCACCCTCTGGTCAAGGGGGTGGTCCAGAAAAGGCCGTTCTCAGATGGATGGGCGTTAATCTGGGTGGCCGTGTGCTGGCCTCCGTGGCCCTGTAGGATCGGGTAGGAAAATCGTAGAAAAGTCTGGACCCAGGGGCTCTGCCAGGAGGGCTCTGGGCATCTCGGGGGGGCAGGGAGGGGTGGGGGCAGAGTCTTTATTATCCAAACCATGGGGCTTGAGAACAAAAGGCGGTATCATCAGTAATAATACCAGGCCCACAGGGACCATCACAGCCAACTGGGACATGGGGCCTGGTCCCTAAAGGACAGACGGACATAATGAGGGCTTCCCTGGCACAGACTGTGTCACTTTAGAACCTGGATCTAATGGCAGGTTCCACAAGCACACTGATGACATCATCCTTTACCAGATTTCGAGGTTGGCCCCTCTCTCACATGCTGATACCAGCACTGTCTGGTAGAATCCCTGGGGCGGCTGAGCATCCACTGCACCGCGTGCTGGAGCCTTCACAGGTTTGCACCACGTGCCGCACGCACACCACGGAGCCCCGTCCGTCCTCACACCTGCAGCCTGGCTCCTGGGTACCAGGTATGGGGATTTCAGGCTGTAGGCGTGTCTCGTGGTGGAAAGGAGGGGTTGATGCTACCTTAGAAAGGTACCGGATTTCTTTAGAAGATAAGTACTTGCTAAAACTTGAGCACATTTCTTTGATTCTTCATGCAGCAGAACAAATCATAACATCCATCCATTCCCGACAAGTTTCCTGGCTTTGAGACCTTCATGCAGAAATAAGGGGATGTAATAATTCTAGTGTTTTTTTAAATGACAATTGGAAAGTGACATGTCAGAAAACATGTTAAATCCCTAAATTTTTCTGCTGGTTTACTAAGCCAAGATCAATAAAAGTGACCTTTATTTTAATAAACTACAGCATCGCAAAATCAAAAAGGTTAATTAGAAAAAGATTATTTGAATTGCAGGAGGCTGTTTTTTGCTTGGGAAAATTTATGTTAGTATTTCAGTAAATTCCTTGATGCATATAAAATTCTCATTTTTTTGTGCACAACTTTTTCTTCACCGTTTGCTGAAAACAGAGTAAGGAGTGGTTGCGCAAAGACACGCCGGAAGCAACCATCCGTGCGGACTTGGGCTTGCAGGTTGCCAGGGTGTGTGGGAAGGCTGGCGGAGCGCCGTGGAAGTCACAACTTTCTGCAATTTGCAGACTGGGCAGGGAAATCGGCGCCATTGTTTGGGTTCGTCCCAGATGGGGACATCTACTTGTCTGCTCCTTCGCCTCGTGTTCCCCCCCCCTTTGCTCCGTCCCCCCTCGGCAAGGTGGGGACGGTGGCTGAGGTGGGAGGCAAGGCTGTGAGCACATGAAATAAACCACCCAGTCCCAGAGTCTCCTTCATTCTGCTCCACGGGGTGAATACAGATGCAAAATCATCCCAGGGCTAAGAGGGAAACTAGCGTTAAACTTCCGTCAATTCTAAATTGACGGAAGTTTAACGTTTTTTCCCCAGAAAAGGAAATGGTTATTTTTTTCTTAACAGAAAAAAAACCCCTGCTTATGGCAAAAACATAAGCATGCAGAAGTAGATAAAGGGGACCTAAGGCTGTCATTGTACCCCCAGGCCTGGCCCCCAAGAGGAAACGGCATGAACATGATTTCCAGGGTGGGGGTGGGGGTGTCCTTTGCAGGTGGATCCTATCAGGACGCAGGGAGCAAAGCCTGCCCACCCACAGGGACCCAGCTCCCCAACCAAATTGAAGCCACTTGTGAGGGTCTGCAAGTGGGTGCCGGGTGGACATGGTGAGCACCCAGTTCTGAGTCAGGGCAGGCAGCAGCCAAAGTCAAGTACTGTGGGCCGGTCCTCAGTGGCATTAAGAGCTACATACATCACTGTCCCCTCCCCACAGAGGGGAGAACCAACCTGAGGGGAGCAAAGGGACCTGCCTGGGGCCCAGAGCCAGGCCAGTGTTAAAGCCTGCTGGACTCTGGCCACAAAGCCCATTCCATTGTGCCCCCCCCCCAGGGCCACCCTCCTCTCTACAAAGGAGACACTGGGTGCTTGCCTGAGCCGAAGCAGCAGGGCTCCCTGGGCACCCCTGGGTGCTGAGCTCGGGGCTCGCCTGGTGTCCTGTGGCAGGACAGTGTGGTTTATCTCCAGGGCCACCAGGGGTCTCTCTGAACAAACAGCCTCCCTGTTTGTAGCTAGAGCCCAAAGTCTCTTGATCGTTTTGGTGCATCTGGAAAGTCACAGAGACGTCATCGAGGTGGAAACGTGGGTGGACCGGTCAGACCAGAGCCCAGGGAGGGCGTTCGGCCCTGGCCTGGGTGCCTCACACTGCCACACGTCTGCGCGTGTGCTGGTGGCCCAGGGCTCGGAATGGCTAGTTCCCCTTCAGCTGAGCAGACGCATTGTTGGGACGGCTCCACTGTGACGGTTCCCTTCATTATCACCTGCCTGAGCTTCATTGTGCCTTCTGGCAGGTTTAGATTTTTTTTTAAGCTTAAACATTTAAAAAAAAGATTTTTAAGGGCTCCCAGTGCTAAGTTTGAAGTTCTAAGACTCCTGTGTTTGCTTGGGTTCACCGGCTCCCAACCGCTCATTTTCTCATCCATTCGCTGAGGAGTGCTTCCCTCTGTACTGTCCTGAGATCCGAGGATGGAGGGGGCAGTCCACAGGAAACCCACACACAAGGTCACGGTGGCCGATGATTTCAGGCAACCCCGAAGGGGCATGGACCTGCTGCTCCGTCTCCTTTAGGTCTGGTCACAATGTCAAAAAATTAGCGAAGCGTGATCCGAGGCCTCAGCTTTGCTATGTGGACGAAATGGGGACGATCAGTTTCCATGCGGCAGGGTTGTGGTGAGAATAGAAAAGGTCATTGGGGAAGCACATCCCGAGCGTTCAGCAGGTGTAGCTGCTGCTGGCAGCTGCATTCTAGGCAGGAGGCCGGGGGGCAAACAAACCTGCAGCCTGTCTGTCCTGACAGGTAAAAACCGTCTTCGTGCCTCCCTTGGCTGGGCTGCAGGAAGCACCTACTTTATGGGTCGGCTTCTAAGACTTAATGGACTGCGCGCGTTGCTTTCCAAGGAGCAGCATTTGTCTGGTTGCTGTGCACCAGGCTGGACTCCGGTTCTGGACTTTCCCGGTGGTCCTGGAGCCTGACTCCCCACCGCGGCCCACCCCGAGTTCCTGGAAGGCCGCCCCAGCAGAGCCCGTGCGGTGGTGGAGAGGCTAACCTCGGCCAGCCCCAGAGGTGGGCAGACCTCGTTCAGAACCAGGCCGTACCCCCGGAGGAGTGGCACCCTGCCCCCCTGCTCTTCGGAGTCCGTGCTGGAGGCGCGAGCCCCCTCCACTGGCCACGAGGAGTTGCGGGCAGGCGTGCCTAGCACAGTGCCCGGTGCACGCTCGCCACTTCCAGAAGCGAGTTGTTAATGACCCGACGTGACGTTCTGCACTGGAGCACGCGCTGAAGACTCACGGGCAGTTCTGGGATTGTCAGGCAATGGGGTGCTTTCAACTAGAAAATGCTGTTTGAAAGGTGCCGGGGACCAGTGGGAGTTAGGAGAACAAGCGTAAAGAGTGCTAGAAAACGGTCCACCTGATGATCACACACTGTTGTGATTTCACTTGTCTTTGTTTACTTTTTAAGATTTTATTTATTTGTAGAGAGAAAGGAACGGAGGCAGAAAAAGAGGGAAAGAAACATCCATGTGTGGTTGCCCCTTGAGCACCCCCTACTGGGGACTTGGCCAGCAACCTAGGCATGTGCCCTGACTGGGAATTGAACCTGCGACTCTTTGGTTCTCGGGCCGATGCTCCATCCACCGAGCCACCCCAGCCAGGGGCTGCTTGTCGTCTTTAGAGCACGTGCAGCACTGTTCTTTTCCCCAGACTTTAGATGTTTGTCCCGTGCGTTTTCCAGGAGAAAATGCCAGCCACAGGGGCCAGGCTGTGTGTCCTGGATGTCCAGGGCCCTGCACGGAATGGCTGTGGACACGGGGTGGGCCTGCCTCGCGTCCGCCACCAGGACTGTAGGCTTCCATGCCTGGGAGCAGCCTGGCCTGGGTCTGGGTTATTTTCAGCTGCCCTGCGATGTAGCTGTAAACCCAGGGAGAGAGGGAGATGCAGGCCCTGCCCACCACGGAACAGCTCCCTAAGCACACGCCATCGCTGGGAGAGCAGGCAGATGATATAATTATAGTTGTTCCAGGAGATCCATTCTGTTGAATTGCCCCTTTAGGAGGCCCCCCTCCTGATTCTTGGCTATTGTAAATACGCCGAGGTGAGCACAGGATTGCAATGTGTCTTTGGTGCCAATGCAATTAAGAAGAAGGGGGGGAAAACCTCATGGCAGATTTCAAAATGCCACAGGTAGAAGCCAACTGCTTCCCTTTGCTCCTTGGTTGTTTCAGATCTTGTGTGTTTTATTAGATGTGTTTTGTGGTGGCCGGAATGATACATCTACGTGGCAAAGATGTCCAGCAGCCAGCAGCAGCTGGGAGAGTGTCCTGAAGGGACTGTTCTCCAGGGCCCCAGCACCTGACCCCGACAACACCTTGATTTCCCACGTCTGGTCTCCAGAGCTGGGCGAGAGTCCGTTTCTGTTGCTGTGGTGGTTTGTTAGTGCCGCCCTAGGAGACACAGAGTCACCCTCTGGTAGGCGATGGGGCGCTTCTGGCACCGAGGACCACCTGCCTGCCCCCGAGCTAAGTCCATTCACCTGCTCACGCTGCTTCCGGGACCACGAACAGCGAAGAGTTATGCAGACCCTTTGCTCTCCTGGGTCTGAGTTGAACGGGAGACTATGTGCCAAGTCCCAGAGAGGAGAGCTAGGCACATTCACCCTGGGAAGAACACAGAGCTCGCCTCGGCACCTCCAGGCACTCACTGCCTCTCAGGGAATGCACAGAGAGATCCAGAAAGTTCCAGCAAAGTCCCAGGTAACTAGAGCAGGGTTTTTCAGTGTGTCATTGGTCTGTGATCCATAGCAAACTTTTACCAGTTGAATCTCTTTTTTCTTACTTGAAGTTTGTATCTCTGACACTCTTGAGTGTAACTGTCCCCTGGAGGTGAGCCCAGGCTTCTGAGAGGACATTCAGGTGGCAGTGAATTAGCAAGAACCTCGTGGGGTCACTGCAGGGGCTACCTCTCCCACATCCAGGCTCCCCTTCTCCCGAGTGTCCAGCAAACGGAAGGCGGGTGCTCTGGTTGGGACAACACCTCCCTCTGTGCACAGGTGGGCTGCGCCTGGGCTGCAGAGAAAGGACAGAGGACCTTGAACTGCCCCCCACCTCACTTCTCAGGAGAAGCTCCGCATTCCGAACCAAGTTCCTGACACTCGCCAGGCAGACACTTCTTTAGTCCGGTCGTCCGCTATTTCCGCAGCTGCGGACGGCGGCTCACCTGTGCGCACACTCTCTTACCCACGCGCGGCAGGCTGGAGACCGAATCGGGACCGGTGGCTTCTGTCCCAGTGCTCTTTCTACTACATATAACTGGTTTCCAGAATTTAGTTTGCATCGGAATGATCCAGAAAACATGTTAAAAATGCAGGTGTGGCTGGTCCCAGAGATTCACACTCTGTGGGCGGAGCCCGGGACGCGCCTTTCCGACAAGCATGCACAGTGGGTCTGAGGCCTGTACTCACAGCCCGCAGGCATGGGTGACGTCCCAGTGGGTAGCTCCCACTTCCCGGGACCACCCACTGTGTTTCTAAAGTGCTATCGCTCCCCTTGTGGCAGGTTCAGTAGGAGCTTCCGGGCAGGCTCCTGCTTTGGGGAAAGGTGACAGTTGCTCAGGGCGAGTTTGGTGGTGTCAGTCACAGCTGCAGACGCTCTGCTTGGCACCCTCCATCTGCCAGTGTCTGCATTGTGGTCCACGGATGAAGAGGAACCTGGAGCCCAGCTCAGTGAGCGGGACCCTGAAACAGCACAGGGGGGCCCTCCACCACCCCCCACCCCCTCCAGGAGGTCAAAGCAGAGGAGAGGAGCTGTTCCTAGAAGTCGGCCTGTGCCTGAAGTCACAGACTGCCCAGGAAACCTCGAGGGAGCTGAGGACAGGCCTGCCTCTGTCTGCACTAACAGCATGCTGACCGCCCAGAGGTTAGAAGCTGCGCTCCCGCACGCAGCCCCGCTGCCTGCCTCCACCTGCTTTACTTCTTGTGGTTTAAAGACCAACAATCTCCCATTTGCTTTTGTTTGGGGCCACAGCACTGGAGGTAGCTGAATCTGCAGCTCCTGCCGCACTGGGGTTCCTGCCACCCATGCGATGGGTTTCCTTGAGGGAGGGCCCCCGCTGGCTTCCCCAGAAATTGGATTCTCTGCACCAGCTTCTTGTTCCCACAGGAGCTGACTTTGCCCAGAATTCACTGGACACCAGCGAGCCCTGGCTGGTGTAGCTCAGTGGATTGAGCACAGGCCTGGGTACTGAAAGGATGCCAGTTCAATTCCTAGTCAGGGCACATGCCTGGGTTGCGGGCCAGGTTCCCAGTAGGGGGCACACAAGACACAACCACACATTGATGTTTCTCTCCCGCCTTTTCTCTAAAAATAAATATTTTAAAAAAAAATGGAAGCTGAGGGGGCAAGGCCGGTGTATGGTGACGGAGCAAGCTGCTGCTGCGGCTGCTGCCCGGTTCCTGGGACTCGAAGGCCCCGCAGCAGAACCCCCGCCTCCCCAGTGCGATGCCTGGGCACAGAGGCCTGCCAGTGCCTGTGACCCGGAGTGTCTGCTCCGCACACCTCGAGGGACCCTGTCCTTTCCCCCCTCCCCAGCTTTCCTCTACTCCCCCAAACCACCGTGACATCCAAGGTGCTTTAAGGCTCATCCAGTTCTGACGTGATTATTGCCAAGCTACCCTGCAGCCACGTTCCATGACCCAGGACACAGACCATGCGAGTTCTAGTCCTGGCCCTTCCCTCTGCTGCTTACACAGTCACTTTGCGTCTGTTCTCTCATCTGTACAATGGGTTTACATGCCCTCCCTATCAACCCACAGGGCTGTGGTGAAGGTTACATGAGTTGGGGAGCATAGACGTGCTTGTGGAGTAGAAAGGGGTGCACAAAGCTGAGGTGAGTCAATGCGCTAACGAGGACCGGGCCTGAGAAGAGCGCGGGCACGAGACATGGGCCCTGACATTTACCACCCACCTCGCGGTCATTTCCGTGCCCGTGGCCACGAAGACCTCGTAGTACACTCATGTACCTTCATTTGATGATTGTCTTCCTGGGCCATTTCGATTTTAAGTGACTGGAAGGAGGGAAACTCAAAGGCAGGCATCGCTGATGCAGAAATGCAGGCGCTGTGAGATGTGAACGGGAATGTCCGGGGCAGGGACAGCTGCCAGGTGAGCGTCCTGCACGGTCCCCTGTGACTCCGCCCTCAGAAGGGAAGTGCTCCTGTGGCCGTGCCTGAGAGCCTGAGTCCTGCCCCTGCTCACCCTGCACTGGGAGGGCAGTCGAGGGAGTGAGGGGAAACGGCACCGTGGGCAGGTGGACCATCAGAGCCTGTGGGTCTAAACGGCCTTCTAGGTGCGGATGAGATCTCAGTGGATTGTTCCCAGGGTGGCGGGCTTTTCCAGAGAGCTGTCAGCCGCTCCTGGCCTCCCGGACTGCTCGGGTGGAGGAGACACAGAGCGACGGGGGCGCCGTGGTCTCAGCCCCTACGTACGTCCTGTGTATTGGGGACATCTGAGCCCCAGCTTCCCCTCACCCTCCCCCATTCCGACTTGAAGGAGAGCCGCAGTCTGTCACCTGCGCCCACACACGCCAGGCTCCTGGAGAGCTTCCAGGGCCGGAGCCCTGCGGCCAGCAGTACACCTGCTGGGGGACGGACTGCGGCCTCAGAGAATCGCGAAACCCGGGAAGGGGGGACCCAGCCCTCCTTGAAGAAGTTGGTTTCCCAATCTCTCCTGAGGACTTTATTAGATCTTTTAGAGCAAGGAGACCAACGAATGCCTATTTACTCCGGCCCGTGGGGTCACCCCAGACTTGAACCCCAATCTCCCGGAGTCTGGCCCCATGGCCCACGTCTCCTGGGCTCATGCCCGGCTCCGGGGGAAAGGGGGTGACCACGGCCCGCTCTGGGCATCACGGTGCCCATTCTCACCCATCTGCTCCCCAACAGCGTGGCCGTCCCCTTCCACCCAGTACCCGTTCTCCTCCTCCAAGAGGGCCACCTCTTCCCCCCAGAGGGACTTGCTGTCCCCCCACAGGGCCTTCTCCTCCTCCAGAAGAGCGCGTTCCTCGACCCACAGGGCCTTCCCTTCCTCCCAGAGCGCCTTGTCCTCCTGAAGAAGGTACAGGTCTATTTCCTGCAAGGCCTTGTCCTCCTTCCAGAAGAGACAGTGCTTTTCCCAGAAGGCTTCCTCCTCTTCCCGGAAAGACTTCTCTATTTCCCAGAAGGTTTTCTCCTCCTCCCAGAAGGCTTCCTCCTCCTCCTCCCAGAAAGGTCTCTCCTCATCCCAGGAGCTCAAGACCTGGTCCTGGAAGGCACGGATCTTGCCTCGGAAATGCCACATCGCTGCCCTGAAGTCTTCTATTTTCCCACGGAAAACTCCTATCTCTTCCAGAAAAGCCGTTTCCTCCTGCAGCTGGTCCATTTGTCTCTTCCGGCGAATGTTAGGCAAGGAGCTGAACAGCGACCGGAAGCAATTGAGTCCCATCCATTTACACACCTTGAAGAGAGATATCTTCCTGCTCAGCCAGGATAGTGGGCTGGTCATAATGGACCACCGGGCCGTTGGCCAAGTCCGGGTCAGCAGGTCAGAACCTGAGGGGGCACCAGAGAGAACATGTCCATGAGTGTCACATTGCAGAGGACGAGCCCTTGAGTACGTACCATCCGATTTGGGAAAATTTAACCAACCATTTCTTTGTCCCCTTGATAGCGTTTGAGGAACAGGTTTGGATAGAAAAACATGCTTGGTTGTTATGGCTTTAAACTGAAGGTGTTGTTAATATAGTCAAGTTCCAGGCAAGGAGTTTCCTCCGTGCCTGGAGTAACATCACAGAATCTCAGGGAACAAGGAAAGTGCTTCTCAACTGGGAAGGGGAGGGGAGGGGAGGGGAGGGGAGGGGAGGGGAGGGGAGAATGAGAGATCTCCTAGTCTCGCCATGTATTTGAGAGACTGGATATCAGAACCACCCGCAAAGATTGGTAGCCATTGAAGTGCAAGCGAAACAAAGGGCGCTCATTCCCATTATGAGTTTTCTGCAAGTAGCTGCCAGGGTCTGGCCGAGCAGTGCACTGTGGGGCAACACTAATCCCTTCGGATTAGCAGGATTTCTCCTTTTTTCTGTTTTCTGACATGGGAGAGAAGGAACCACACGCAGCCAGTGCACGTGTGTGTGTGTGTGTGTGTGTATGTGTGTGAAGACAGGGTGGCTGCACTGTGGGCAGCTGGTGGCAGTGACATCCACCCACTCACACAAGCCAGAGCCCGGAGCTCCTCCATGACACCTTCCTCCTCGTCGCCGGACTTTGAATTCATCAAAGTGCCAGTGAAGATGCTTAACGATTCTTAAACCCACAGCCCCTGCTCCATTTCCTTGACCATGACCAGTTCAGACCAGGATACTGGAAGTAGCCTGACTGGTCCCTGGTACAGAGTTCGCTCGCCCCTTTCCCTGATGCTGTCGCCCCAGGGGTTTTGTCCCATCCCCCCACGGCTGCTCGCAACCCTTCAGAGCCCCACAGCTTGAATATCCGATCCAAACGCCTTAGTAGGCCCTCTGTAACCAGACCCCCGCTTGTCTCTCTCTCCTGCTACCCAGTGTCCATTCAAGTCCAGATCTAAGATTCAGTGATAATGGGCCACAGCATTCAGTTCTCTGGCCGTGGCCGCAGTCTCCTGCCTCCACACCAGGGGGCGGGTGTGCAATGTCCTCTGTCAAGGTTGCCTTTTCCTCTCATGGTGGGCTTGGGTTCCTGCTTTCCCTTTCCCCCTGAAAGCTACCTGGGCCTCCAAAGGTCATCCACACCTCTTCTATGCCCCCTGTCCCTGCACTGTCCCACTGCTTACTTGTCACATTTGATTGAAATTAGGGGTGAACAAGCCTTGCCGCCATTCCTGAACCCCGATATTTAACATAAAGCTGTATGTGTAGGAGGTAATGATAGAAACGGTTGACTTGAACTGAATTTCATTGAATTTTGGGACTTGGATTTTTCTGTTGTATTATGGTTATTTGTCTTATTGCTACTATTTGCATAACCGTTAGGATCTTGAAGGGGGAGGTTCCTCATTCTTCCAGTGCTACCTTGCTTTCTTTTTGCTGGGAGAACAGCTAGCTGGCCCTAAACAAGGGTCTGTGGACTTGGATATGGGCGACTCCATGAACAAAGCTGCAGGGTCAGCTAGGGTTGCCTGATAGCCGTTGATAGCAGTAACCTCTCTAATTATATCGGTGATATCATCACGACCTGCTCACTTATTCATCTTTGTATGCAGGGCAATTTACCTACACTGCCCGTTTAATTCTCTCAACCACACTGGGAGAGAGATACAGTGTTGATTCATCCCATTCTGTAACTAAGAAAACTGAAGCTTCAGTAAGTTTAAAACCTGTTCCGAGAAGCACGTAGATGGGTTGAGGCTGCCGGAAGGCCACAGCAAGGACCCGCGTGAACTGTCCCTGCACACCAATGCAGTCCACTTCCCCTGGCCTGGCTGCCTGGGACTCCTCAAGTAGAAAAGTCACCCTCTCTGCCATTTCATGCCGTTCTCACTGGATGGCTTTGCCTGCACCAGCTCCACTTCCCTTCACTGTCCAAGTCTCACATCAGAAGTGCCCTCCTCTAGACAGACAGCCTCCCCTGACTCGGCCTCAAGTTCAGACTCAGCAGAAGCCCCTCCTGCCCCACCTGGCACGTTTGCCCCACCCCCCGCACTACGTTGGGACATAACACATGTATCGTAAAATGTCAACTGAGCCAATGGCAGTCTCCTGGGGTAGAATGTCAGAAAAAAAAGTCATCTCTAAATTGTTCTCCTTACCACTGAAGTTATCTTCGAGGAAGAGAAAAGTAAGTCCAATATCAAAGATGAAGTTGTGCTTTTAGATATAAAGTACAACCCAAAATGGTGAATAATGCATCTTCGTAGCTCTAAAATCTCACAGAAACATGCTTAATCTCCAGTATCATACTGTAGGACCAGGAACTTATTTTAGGGAAGGTGTTGTGTTACTCTATGCTTGGAACCCATATTCAGTCTAAAGCCAATGGCTACTTACCGCTTAGCTGTCTGCCAAGTGGGCAAGTCCTGCAGCTCTCAGAGGACAGGCAGTCATTGTCGTGTCAGGTCCTTAGTGATGTCATGTTCACAGGCCCCCCAACACTGTTTGCAAGAAGCCCCCCGCCCCCTCACAGTCTCAACTCACAGGGAGGAGTGGACCAAGATGGAGCCTCAGGTAAGAGGCTTTAAGGAGCAAAGAGAGAACCAGAATGTTCTGACAGATCTCTCCATCGTCCATTCTGACCTCAGCGGGTGGTGATTGTGACATCACATCCTGTCCAGGTTGTGTGCAGAGCAGACTTCTGGGCAATCATGTTTCAGTGAGGGTTCCTACATGATGGATCGCTTCTCTTGCTGCTATACCAATTCTCTCTTTGTCTTTGGCTATTACGTATCTACTCGTGGCTTCCTTTGCATTTACACCACTTACAGTTTGCTGAGCTTCTTGGATATCCAGCAGATTCAAGGCAGTTTTTCCTCAAATTTGAGACATTTCAGTTGTTATTTCTTTAAACATTCTTTCTTTTCCTCCTCTCCCTGTGGGACTCCAGCAATATGATTTTAGTAACTTGATAACTTACCTTGGGTCCCTCTGGCTTTGTTCCTTGGTCTCCATTCTTTTTCATTCTGCTGCCTAGACTGGGTAACCTCCCGGAACTTGTCTTCAGGGTCATTGGTTCTTTCTCCTGCCAGGTCAAATCTGATATTGATTCCCTCAACTTTCATTTCCAACTTGAGGATTTCTATTTGGTTCTTTTATACACACACGCACACACATTTTAATCTTTTTATTGACATCCCCTATTTCGTGAGACATAGTTCTCATTCTTTTAATTATTTAGGTGTGGTTTTCTTAGTTTCTTGACCATATTTGTACCAGCTGATTGAAGACCTTGGTCTAGTAAGTCCAATATCTGGAATCCTTCAGGGACAGTTTCTAACCAAAAAGAGAATAACTCAGAATAATTGTTTCTGTGTTTGTTGTTGTTTTGCTATTTATTTGTTAAGTGACTTTCCTGGATTAATTCTGAAAAGCCTGTATTTTTGGTCATGTGTAGTCACTGAAGTCTGCTTGGTTAGCTTAGGGGTCGGCTAACGACTGAACTGAGAGACTTCCTCGAACACACAAGTCTTCCTTCCTTTACTGAGGGACTGCGGTGTGTGGGTGTTGGGCGTGCCTTCGATGCTCGATACTTTACAACCTCTCTGCCTTCCCTCCCTGCATGCACACGGCCTCAGGGTCAGCCCAAGGTAGACGATTGCGGACTTTTTTGGGTCTTTGCTGGGCACATCCACAGCCATTCCCAGGAATATGTCAAAGTTTTTTTAAAGCTTCTATCATGTTCTCCAGTTTTTCCTTTTAAATTATCGATCAGCCTCTTATTAGCTCCATCTGGTAACACTGCCTCAGGAAACTGTGATATTACTAATATGAAAAAAAAAGTAAATGCCCCAAGGATAGGGCTGTTTGCACAAAGGAGGCATTGCGTTCGGTCAAATACAGACGAGGTCTGGGGATGGGGCTCTTCAGGGAACTGTCAGGCAAGCAAATAGGCCGCTTTGGAAATGAGGGTGTTTGACTCCCTTCGCCAAGTCATTCTAGAAGCCCAGTCATTATCTTTAACCATTCTTCCTCTCTAATATGTGTCCTCAGGGCTATCAATCTCCTCATAAATACACTTACTTGCATCTCACATGTTTTAAAACGTCGCATTTCCTTATTGTTCAATTAAACAACTTTCTAATATTCACTGTAATTTTTCTTTGACCCACTGGCTACTTGTAAGTATATTGCTTGATTTCCAAATATGTGTGGATTTTCCAGTTACGTTTTTGTTACTGATTTCCAGCTCAATTCCACAATAGTCTCTGTCGGCACAAAAAGGACTCCTGTCCTCCTCTGGCCGGCTGCCTGCTCACTTCAACTTGCTCAGGGGGCAGTGAGGTCAAATGTCACAAAGAAGATTCAGGTCGCCTCATATACCATCCTGTCGTCTAACAGGCCCCCCACCGCATCCCACCACGGGGTGGGGGGGGAGTGGTGGGGTCACTTTGGATTCGGGGCTGGGGACTGGCAGGGCCAGGATGAGTGTGAGACAGGCGAGGCACCCCAGGCACAGGATTTAAGGAGATGTCTCCCTCAGGGTCGTGCAAGTACAGGGCCAGCCTTAAAGGGGGTGCTTCCTTGCCTTTTATACAAGAGGTGCATATCTGTGCTACCCCAGTAGACCCGCCTTTCCCATTAAAACACCACTGCAAAACCTAGCATGTCAGGGCTGCAGGGTGTCTGCACTTGAACAAGACTCCTGCTCCTCACGGTGCGATCCCCAGGGACTTAGGTCTAAAACACAGATTCCTGGGCCCAGGTCCAGACCTACAGATTCAGAACCTTGGGGAGTGAGGCGGGACTCTGCATTTTAATAAAGAGCCTCAGGCACTTCTTATGAACTAACAGTGGAGAACTTCTGCTACTCGATGCTGTACAC